TAAATATATTAATAATTATGCAATTAAATATATTAATAATCATGCAATAAAATTGAATCATACAAATAAATATATTAATAATCAAGCAATTAAATATATTAATAATCATGCAATCAAATTAAATATAATTATACAAATAAATATATTAATAATCATGCAATCAAATTAAATATAATTATACAAATAAATATATTAACAATCATGCAATCAAATTAAATATAATCATACAAATAAATATATTAGTAATCATGCAAATATATTAATAAATCACACAAATAAATATATTAATAATCATGCAATTAAATCAATCACACAAATAAATATATTAGGCAAATAAATTATCATGCAAATATAATATTAGTCATGCAAATTCATGCAAAAATAAATACCATATAATAAATATAAAAATAAGAGTGAGCAATTAAATATTATAAAAGTTATGCAAAAAAAAAAAAAAGAAAGTAAACATTACTTCAATAGATCATGGGTTTCAACAACTTTTCACCTTTAAAAAACTAATACTTCCTACTATAAATCTTAACCTTGCTTCTAAAAACTCTAACTGAATCTTCTTACAATTTTTTGCTTCATTGTTTTTTCCTTGTTGATTTAAAACTTTGTCTAAATTTTCTCTATCTTCAATTACCTATATTTGATTTTGAACTGAATTGTTGTGAGGCTCCCTTTTAATCATAGATTCAAGGTTTTTATATAAGGATTGAATCCCTTTTAATTTGGAAAAAATTAATTCAACCAAAACTAGGATTTCTCTCTAAATTTTATTCTTTGTGTAATCTTCCTTTTATTCAATAGATTGAGCCCTAAGTCTTTCCAAAATTATTCAACCATTAAAGTTAAAATCTAAGATAGAATCTAAAAGTTGAATTAATTCAAGATTCTTCATACAAATCCCATATTTTTCTTTTTTATTTTTTACCCCTTTTTTTTTTTTGCTAATTGACTTTGACTCTTTTTAACTAGAAAAACAAAAACTAAACCAAATTTTAATTAAACTAAAAAATTAAAACACAAATAAAATTTAGGGCTTAATCTTTGGGCCTAAAATTCACTTTTTCAATTAAGGTCCAATTGCACAATCAAAATCAAAATTCAAAGCCTAATGAATTTTGAAAAGTCCTTAAACAAAATAGAGTGTTTACGACCCAATAAAAGTCCAAGTTGATCGTTTCAACCCAAATCCAATTTTGGAGTCTAAATTTCAATTTTAAGCCCCATTTTAAATCAATTTTGGGCTAATCTTATATGTGTCTAAAGGGAAATTGAAGCCCAATTTTAACTTAAGGCCTAGATTCAATATTGATTAATTAAATATTTCCAAAAAAAAAAAAGAGAAAGGAAAAGTCAGATTTGGTCAGCCACAATTTTTGTTTCTCCCAACAAGTCCTAATTTTACTATATAAGTTTTGGATCTTGTTTGGGTTTTTCATTTTCTTTAGACTTAACTTCCTACATGAAAAAAGAAAATAGAAAATGATAGAAAATGAACAAAACTAATTTTTAGGAACAAAAAAACTCAGCAAAAGTTCACAAAACAAAAATTCCCTAGCCTTCCCTCTCCTATTCTCTGATCGACCTTTGAACTTGAACCTTTTGCTCACTACATCTAATTGTTACTTCCCGTTATCCTATTCATTGCTCTCCATCATCACAAAAAAAAAAAAAGAAAAAACTACCCAACTAAATTTCACCCTATTAATAGCCTCAAAACCCAACTTAAAAAACATACACCCATCATCATCAACAACCTAGAGCTCATATTACCATCCAACCCAAACAAAAAAAAATCTTGTTATTTTTTTCCTTATAAAAAATTACACAAAAAGAAAAGCAAAAACACTAAACAAAATCACCACAGTCCTTATGTAAAGAACCTAACGTCATAGCAAAGAAAAAAAAGAGATTGTTTGCTTCAATTGAATAAGAAAGAAAAAGGAAGAAGCGGTAACAAAAAAAAAGAGTTAGTTTCAACTAAAAAAAAGAAGGAGAGATGAAGAAAAAAAAAAGAAGAATAAAAAAAAGAGTTTTGGCATTGGTAGGGGAAAAAAGAAAGAGAGAAAAAGAAGGAAAGAGAAAAAAAAAGAAATGAGAAGAAGAGATGAGGGAAAAAAAAAGGGAGAACCATCAGTTAATAAAGAAGAAAAAAAAAGGGGCAAAAGGCAAAAAAAAATTAAAAAAAAAATCGGTCTGACCTGCCTATAAGAGACCTAAACCACATCAATTATTACTCCAAAAAGCCCAACAGATTTGGTCTTGTTGACTTTGGGTTGAAACGCAAAAAAATCTATTTGGTATATTCTCTATCCCTTTTTGTTTTGTTACATTATCATGAGTATTTAAATTCTTTTAAATGATAATAATAATTTTATAAATTAAAAAATAATTTTCCTTTAAATGATTATTTTTGAAAAAAAAGAAAGAAAGATAGCATTTCTAAGTAAAAAAAAATTTTGGAGACTCTAATTGGATAATGGAAGGTATCTAAATAACTATTTTTTACAAAGGAACACCATCTTTATTTTTTTGAAAAAAATTATTTAGTGAATTTTTTAAAATTATTTTTAATTTCACCTAGACATTAGGGAGTTAAAAATAATAAAATAATAATAAAATAAATATTTTTAAATACCAAAATATCATTTTTATCCTAAATAAAATCCATTAAAAAAAAACAATTCCATGCATCATTTAATTTATGTTCATATTGTCATATATGCATTGTAGACATTTATAATAAATGTGAAATAGCAAAAATTCTTTTAAAATAATAATAATAATAATAATAATAATAATAATAACAATATTTCAAAAATAAATTTGAAAACCTTGCCTAGATATTGGAGAGAATTTAAATCATGTTTTGAATGGTTAACTTTTTCAAATTCCACCTAGATATTGTGAAATTAAAGGAAATTTTCTTCACAAAAATAAATAAAAATAAATTTTATTTCACCATAATTTTCTTTTTAAAAAAAGAGATAATGAAAAAAATATGATTAAATGAATATGAGATAGGTCAAGTTGGTTAATTATTTGTATTTATATCATTTACTTATTTCATGTTACAATATGATTTGAAATAATAATACTGCAAATTACTAATTTATAAATTTTGAAAATTAGTTTTTTTAATAAATAATAGTTAATATTCTTCATAAAAATAATTATTAAGACCTTACCTAGATATTAGAGGGTTTCTCAATAATTATTCTTTATAAAGAAATATTATGTGAAATTTTTGAGGGATTAGTATAAAAAAAATAAAGAAATAATTTTTGAAATTCTACCTAAATATTGAAAAATTAAAAACTATTTCAATACTAAAGATTTTCATCTTATTGCTAAATAAAAAATTTTATTCCTAAATAAAATGAATAAAATTTAAATATGTGTTAGATAAATTTAATTGATTGTCTACATTTTAATTTGTATTTGCATCATACATATGCTCTACATGAGACCTGTCGATATTTCTTTAATTAAAAAATTAAAAAAATCAACAAATGGTGAGTTTTTTAAATATTTGTTTAAAAATAAAAAAGTATTCTTAAATAAAAATAATTTTTAAAACCTTACCTAGATATTAGAAAGCTTCTCAATGATTGTTCTTTATAAATGAACATTATGTGAAAGTTTTGAGGAATTAGTATGAAAGTCCAAAGTAAAAAAATATTCTTCAAAGTTCTACCTCAATAATGGAGAATAAAAAAATATTTCGTACTAATAATTTTGATTTTATTCCTAATTAAAATGTTTTTTTTAAGAAAGAGATATTTTAAAAAAATAAAATTTGAAGGAATCATTTTTAAATATTAGAATTAAACCATTTTTATTAATAGTAACGACAAAATGTAATTAATTCATATTATTTTTAAATAAACGTTATAAAAGTGTTAATCATTTTTCATGCATAATCAACTTGTAAACAAAACATTATTTTAATAAATTTTAAACTTGTTTTATTATTTCGTTAAAAAAAAAATTTTTAGATGCTCAATCACACCAAACAAAAAAAAAATTGCTAGGGACTCTCCTGATTTTAATCATTTTAAAAAATTTTCGTTTAACAGTCTCCAAAACCATTTTGACAATTGTTGATGTCAAGTCAACAAAGATCTAATCTGATAATGGTGATCTTAGTTTATCTGGTTGTTGTGGTGATCAATGGTGGGATTGTTTCTGTTGATATTAGGTTTTAGTAGCTGGGTTTCTATTGCAGGAAGGATGATGAAATTGGTCTTGGCAATGGGGAAAATACTGGTCTATGCTTGCTTCTTGGAGAAGTAGTTTCGGAGTTAGGGCGTCATTTGCAGGGGATAGTGGCGGAATGGTAGGCTGCAGTCGATTGTGGTAAGGCTAATTCTAGTAGCTGGTGGGTAGTGGGCTAGGAGGTAAAGACTAGTTGTTGAGTCTTGCGGTTTTGGTTGCCAATGATCGCTAATGGTTGTTTGATGTGGGATGTTAGCTGGCTGGCTGGTAATGGCAACTTAGTTCAGTGATGGAGCTATGGTGGTGATGACAATTGTAGAGGAGGTAAAGATGGTAATGTTGGGCTAAGCTGCCGGCCGAGATGGAGAAATGGATGAAGATGGTCCCCCCGAGCTCAGCCTCTGTGAATCTTATAAGCACATTTATCCCAATCCAAAGAGAAGTTTCGATAAGAAACAAATGATTTCATCCAAAAGTTGTTATATCCAAATCAAATCCATATCTTTTAATTTTTCTTTTTTTTTATATTTCACAACAATAAAAAAAGTGAAAAACAAAGGCTAAAGTAAATGAATTCCTTTTAAGGTTCTAATCCAAGCTATAAGCTCGATATTCAAACAGTAAATTCACGGCTAAATGAACATGACAAAGAACAGGAAGAGCACTCTGTCAAACCCTGAATGACAGCTTGTTTCACTTTTCACAAGTTGAATTTCAACTCTGACATTCCAATAGACACGTGAAAGTGATATTATTCAACATGTTCCATCAACCTATTCCTTTGACTCTTGTTGATTCGATGATTTTAATCTCATCGCCTCCAGTTCTGCAAGTACATGCATTGAATCTGAAACTTCAGCCTTGTAGACATAAAACTTGACTACTACCAAGAAGAAAATAAAGTTCAAGAAGTTGAGTATAGCCAAAAATGCATAATAGTAGTCAAGATGAGATTTGTTTAGGTTATCCAAGATCCATCCTTGATGACCATGCTTGCTAGTGATATGAGAAACTGTTGAAAGAAGGAAACTGCTAATAAAATTCCCAATTCCCAGACTAGTAGTTGAATATGAAGTACCAAGACTCTTCATACTCGCCGGTGCCTGATCATAGAAGAACTCAATCTTAGCCACCTCTAAAAATGCATCAGCTGTGCCCATAAGCACAAATTGGGGAAGTAAAATGAATATGGTTAGCGGAAGTTGCCCTCCATTTTCAACTAAGCCATGTTCCCTGGCCACATTGAGTCTGTGCCTCTCAATAAAAGAAGCAATTATCATGATTATGATGTGGATAACAAGACCAATACCCATCCTTTGAAGGAAAGTGATGCCTCTAGGATTTTTTGTCCACTTTTTCACAATTGGGACGAAGACACGATCATAGAGGACAAGACAAATAAGCACAGAAATGGTAACAAATGCAGCGAAACTTGCTGGGGGGATCTCGAAGCTACCCATGTGTCTATCAAGGGTGGTGCCTTGTTCTACAAAAAGGGTATTGATTTGAGCAATCACGGTGCTTGGCACAAAAGTGGCAATCAATATTGGGATCATTCTTAACATCTGTTTAGTTTCCTCTATTTGGGTTACCGAGCATAGCATCCATGGAGCCATGGAGCCTGTTTTAACAGCAGCCTTATTCAGGAACCTGCATTTTGGCACAAAGTTGAACATATGATCAGAAGACCACAAATCAAAATGACAGAAAATTTCAGATTCCATAAATATATGTACCTAATGCAAATAATAATTGACACTAACCTCAGGGTTGGTGTTGAATCAATCCGAAACTTTCCTTTCCTACCATACTCTTCTAGGTCAAGTTCATAAAGTTCTTTAATGTCACTAGGAAGAGGCGCGCTCCATTTCCTTATGGCAGCTACTATGACCTGAGCCATCCTTTTGAAACACCCTGCGGGCACCCTGTGCCTATAGAATGGCGTGCCTGCCAGGAAAATCAGAACTGAAATCACCAGGCCAAGTGTGGGCAGCCCATAGCCTAATGTCCAACCATGATTGTCCTGAATATATACAAGAAATGTGTTGGCAAAGAGTGTCCCAAAGAAGATGCTGAAAACCCACCGATTGAAGAAGGATAGCTTATGAGCCTTCTCCTTGGGATGGAAATCATCGAATTGATCGGCGCCGATCGTCGAAATATTTGGCTTGGTGCCGCCGGTTCCAACAGCTAAAGTACAGAGTGCACCAAAAAAAACTGCTAACTGTAATTTTGATGCCTCCTTGCAATGATCTATATTGGCTTGGTGACATGGTGGTGGCTTTAGTCCAGGTATTGACACTGATAATGTTAGCAAAGACATTCCCTGTGATCAAGAATTGGGTTAATTTCGACCGTTGCAATTGCCATAATTAATAAAAAAACTACATGCCCCTTAAAAAATCACAAATTTGATGACCATAATCAAACACAGTTCTTTACATTCTTATCGCAAAATACTAAAAAGTCAAATTGATATTTTTTTTATGTGCAAAGAATTTGGTATGTGATTTAAATTTTTTTATAAAAAATTAAATTACGGTCCGTAAAATTTTAATTTTACCTTAATCTTAATTTAGCCTTTACTTAAATTATAATTAATTTTTTTATCTTTTAAATTATAATTAAGATTCCAAAATCAACTTTAATATCATTATAAATCTTAATTTCAAACCTCATTCCTTAACACATTTAGATGACCAACCAATTTAAAAAAAAAAAAAATCTTAATGTCAATTTGCAACCAGGCTTATCATTGCCTCGGGCATTGAAATTTTAATGGTCCGCACTGTGCATACCCAACAATAAGGAAACACATGTAAAAGCCTAGTTGGTCTTTAATTTATCCCTATGCAAAGTACGTTGACTCATTCGCACAAGAAATGCTCTTCGGCAAAGAAGGACAAAAATTTCTAGACTCCCTGTCGGGACAAGATTCAATTTGTGAGAAATTCGTGGTCCACATGACAAATCTGTTGAAATTTTCCGACAGCATATGTATAATCATCTTCCATATTGCCTTATAATTAAAACGTGGAAACAAAATTTAGTCAAAGTTTCGCATTTATCCATGTTTTAACGCAAATTATTTTTCGTAATTTAACTATAATCAGTTAACGTCACAACAGTTATATATATATATATATATAAAGTTATGGTACGAAGATACCTGATAGAGGATTTATAATTATTAAATTTAAATCTTAAATTTATTAAATATTATTTTTTTAAAATAATTATATGAATTTATTTAAAATAATTACTCAAATTTAATAAAAATTTATTTGAAATTAATTGGTTATTACTTAATTGATAAGAAGACTTCAAAAATTTTTTTAAAAATTTTTTTGATAGGTAAATTAATATGCTTATAAATAGGTGAAATATATATGAAAAAAATTATATAAAATAGTTGTAAATTTTTATAAGATAGATACCTTATAAGATTAAAGAAGATTGAAAAAATCCTTATGGATGAATATGTTTAAGTGAACTAAAAGAGAATGAAATAATTCACATAGATATGATGCATAAGAACACATAAATATATATTTGTTTGAGTTAAAAATATTTCATAAAATTAGAAAAGGTTAAGAAAGTTTTTATGGGTATGTATATTTTAGTGGACTAAAGAAAAATGAAAAAGTTCATATAAGTATAGTGTAAGAGCGTACATTAATATATATTTGTTCAGATTAAGAATATTTTATAAAAGTAAAAAAAATAAGAGGATATATGAATATTGATTGTGAGTAAGATTATTTTATTAATTTATTTGTAATTCTTCATAACTAATGGATCTCTTTTTCTCATTTATAAACATAGATCAGTTGAGCTAAATCAGGTCAAATTATCATTTTTTATATGATTGATTGATTGTTTGATTATATTTTAATTGACTTAATTATTTAATTGGATTGAGACTTTATGTCTAATAACTGATATTAAAGCTAAACCAATAATTAATATCAAAGTTACTGTCATCCTAACATAATGAACTGAAGCTTCATTTCTTAAATAATACATTAGAAACCAATTGATTGGCTTAGTGATCCAATTCTAAAATAATGGCTTTGGTTTTACTAATTTTATAAGTAATTAAAATTGTTATATTTGAGTGTTTGGTTGAAAAGTAACTATATATTTATAAGTAATTGAAATTGTTATATTCGAGTGTTTGGTTGAAAAGTAACTATATATATATTAAACTTTGGGATGTAAACTTTAAACTTAACTTTTATAAGTCTCAAATTCAAAACTAGTACCGAATAAATACGTATGAATAGAGGCTAGTGATTAATTACAACCATGAAAACTGGGAATTGAAATGTTTCCAGTTACTTTTACTTTTAAGATGATAAGAAATATCTTCATGCCTTGTTCGGATCTAATTTTTTCTCGGATTATCTTAAAAGCACATTACATGACATCTTGTGCAATTTCAAGATTTTTACTCTTACTCTTTACAAAAATAAGATTCTAGCTAGTTGGAAAAAAAAAAATTTTTTCCGTTAATTACCAAAGGGACTAAACCGTGTGGATTGTTTCCAACTACTTCGAACACACGTATGTAACACAATTATGTATGTATGCATGCAAAATGCATAAAAAGAGATTTTTTGTAAATATACCGAGATATAAATTAAAGACGCAATGACAAACGTCCAATAGCGACCAAGGAATGCATCAGCAACGTAGGCACCCAAGATTGGGGTCATCAAAGTGGTGCCAACCCAATTGGTAACATTGTTGACCGACTTGACACTGTCTTGATGAAGCTTCCTCGTCAAATACAGGACAAGATTGGAAGACAAACTGCTGTAAGCCATCCGTTCAAAGATTTCATACACTGCATTATTTGGCACCAGATCAATGCTCCTTTTTCAATGTTCAAACTAAGAATACTAGAATTGCATAAAATGAGAATAGACAAAAAATAAAATAAAAAATAGAGTCCTAATACTTTCTATGGATTCATTCCAAGATTAATAAGGAAAAGTGTCGTGAAAGTTAATACAGGGAATGGTGACAAAGAGCGAAGGGATTTTGTCCCATAACAAAAGTTAAGACTCAATGTGTTCCTAGAGAGAGGTGAAGAGGGCGAGGCAAAACCTAAGAGAAAAAAAAAAGCAAACGATAAAAAAAGCATCAACCAATCGGAATCAATTTCAGTGAAATATATTAATTACCGACAACAAAGGAGCAAGCAGTCCATCCACCTCTCTTGGATCTACGGACTGGGTTTCCTTTGAGATCCACAGTGCCATCTTGAGTGTAATCATCTATCCCTTCTTCAACAGCCATAGTGTTTTTTTTTTTTTCTATGGAACAACTTTACACTGACACTTGCAAAGAAGAGTTTGCATCAATCCACTCCTTTTATAGACAATTAGAAGATCTTGCTGTTCAAGTTAATTTACATCTTTGCCATCAATTTTTACATCCAATTCCCATTGAAAACAAAAACATTTCCTACGTGTGTACTTTTTCAGCCACCATTATCTATAAAATAGGTGTTTCTGGTTTAGGTTGCATCTAAGAATGATCGTTTTTTTTAAGATTTTGCCCAATAGTCAACTTGACCTATATAATCCGCATGCTCTAGTTTTTTTAAATATTAAAATTTGAAATATATTCTTAAATTAAAATTAAATTTTGTACTAATAATTTAATTTTCAAAGTAAGTTTGAACTTAAAAATCTTTATTTTAAGAATGGACTCAATTCTAACCAAGCCTGGGGTAGGCGAAATTTTAATTACATTGTAGAGAAAAACTAGAAATGACTATTACATGGTCTCATGAATATATATATATATAGTCCATGCAAATTGTCATTACAAGACAATTAAGCCCAATTCTTCTCTTTTAAGTAAAAGGCGTAATTGAACGTTTGCTAGCTATGAAGGTCACTTTCTCAGTGAATTACAACGTTTATAACCCTTGTTTTTATTATTAGGTTGTCGTTTTTTTTATACCAAAAAAATTATACTTTTAATATATATTATATATACAATTTAATTATTTTAATTATAATCTTACATGAATATATAAAAACCAAAATCTTTGGTAAAATAAAAAAAAATTCAATATTATGACTAATTCATTATTTTGACATGTGGACAATTTTAAATAATTATCTCATTTTGAATATTGACATGTGGTTAAAGCATATGATAGTCTTAAACAATAGTTGGTTTTGATTTTTAATATCTGTTTCGAATACTAATGAATAATGCCAATTTAGATAATAAATGACTTTATCGCATAATGACTTCTCTTTCTCTCTTTCTTTTGGTTGCATAGAAATAAATAGAAGATATTTATATATAAACAATGCTACTTAAAAAATGACAAATAAGAAGAAAAAAAGAAGATTAGACGCAAATTTGTGTAAGCTTTTAAATAGAAAATTTTATGTATTAAAATGTAATCTTATTGATTTAGGACATTATATAAAAGTATTCCACGTAGGAATAGTATTTCATCTATAATAATGCTCTTTGGCTTAAGTAAATAATTACAAAAAAAATAAAATAAAATATAAAAATATAAATTTAATATGCATATGTATATATTTTCAATTTGAAAAAAAAAAAAAAAACCTACTCTTTTCTAGAAAATGCACACTTTTTTAAAATATTATTCTCTTACAACACAAATTTTCTTATATATGGGAGATAATAGATATTATTTATAAACATTTATTCATAAAAACCCTATTAAGAAAAGGATATAATAAAGTTTAAAAAATAAAATCATTTACAATACCATTAATATAAAGATATTATAACAAAATAAATTTACTAAGAACTAAAATAAGTTAATGAAAAAGTAAGATATGCCAATGTTCCTGTAAGAAAGAAATTCCAAATTAAACTTTTTTCTTTTTTATAAAAAAAAAAAAAAAAAACTTTAATTTTTATATATTTATATAAAATAATAATATGTATAACAAAAAAATATAAAAGAATTGTTTGCTCCATGTTTAAAACTAAATAACAAAATCAACCTCGTTTCTTTAAGTTGCGTGTGTACACCATTCTACGGTGATGCCCTGCCTAGGAATCTCGGATTTATTATCGATCGTCATTGACCATTTACTAGAAAATTATTTGGCCCACTGACACGCTTACAGCTCATTTATTTATATTTCTATATTTGGGAATCAGATTTTGGAATCTTCTTTCTTCTTCAGAAGTTTGCTTTCATCTAGAAAGCATGTGGTATATATTTATGATTATGCCTAATGAAAAATCTAATATTTAAAGATTTTGATGGTTAAATTTTGATATTTTAAATTGGAGGAATTGAATTAGGATTTTAAAATATAACGGATGAATCTATAAAGTGGGAAAAAAATTTAGATCTAAAATCATATAGGTATAAAAAAATGATAGAAACATAGAGTAAGTAGATAATGAAAAAGATTGATGAACAATATAAAATTGCTCGTATCTAGATAAGTAATGAACCTAGCTATATTTATTATGCTATAGCTTAATGAAAAAGATCAATAAGCAATCTTGTTAAATGTTATTTTTTATTATTATCTTTTGTTATACTTTTAGGTTTTATTTATATGATGGATTTATTTTTTTTTTGGTTATTTTATGGATAAACAATAAGTAAGACTTTTTTGGGTCAACCCTCTCTCCCACTCCTTAAATTGTAGGATAATTTCAATTTCAAACATAGTGAGTTTCTATAAGAAGGTTTATTGATCATCCTAACATAAGGGTATAGTGCAGATTCAACAAAAACTTACATTAAATATATATATCACCCATAAAAAATAATTATTGGCAGCAAAAATTAAATTTAGACTTTATAAAGCAAATATTTTATTCTTATCAGCTTAACAAACTCCAGTTACGTAACCATTAGCAACTATTTTCAACCACCCTAACTAGACATGCAGATATACGACATTAATTCATAGTAAATACATTTTTCTTTGATGGAATTAAAGTTTTATTATGTTTCTTTTGACAATTTAAAATGTGTAATAAATGTTTTATCATAACAATTATCAAAACCTTCATTTTTAATGTTAATCTCTGTTTGACCGATCTAAATTAAAGGATTGAGAGTAGTCCAACCTATCGCACACAATGGTCCATCATTTAAATAATATGATATAAGTAGAAATTAAGGATCAATTGCCTTTCAAAAAAAAGGATCAATTTTGTTCACACCCTTCATTTAGAAGTTAGTTGCATTATAGCCCTCCAAACTTTATTTGAAGTAACCTAATTAGACTTATGTTTAAGATTAAATTTTGAAATTAACTTTCAATTTGAAAGTATAAAAAATTTAATATGCATTTGGTGCACAAAATTATGACATGAAAGGATAAGTTGATATTATAAATAGGATTATATTAAATAATATTATCTTATCTTATGTTTGATATATATATATATATATATAAGGATTATCATATGATAATTTATTTATTAGTCAAAATTATCTTTTTTCAAAATTTATACAATTTAAAATATGAATTTAATTTTTAAGGGTGTAATAAAACATATAAATTCAATTCTATGGGTTAAAAATAATTCTTTTCACTTTAAGATGATTGAATCATCATATACTAAGAGGATGATTAATTATTTTTGCAATCTTGTCCTTTTTTTAAAATACAAATCAAACATAATATTGAATGATTATCATACTATACTATCCTTCATTCTATGTATGAAACATGATCTTAAAACTATAGTCAATAGCATTATAACTTGTTGATAAAATACTGAACTTTTAATTTTAATAATTATGGTTTAAATCTTGACAATTACAAATATAAAAAAAATTTGAGAAAAATAATACTAATATTTATAAGATGAAATAAGATTAATCTATGTTGTTCTTTAATAAGTTATAATATGACACGTATTGGAAAAAAAAATTAACAAAGCTTTTTGTTTAAATTCTAATAGATTACATTGGTAAAATTGGCATCTCCATGGGCGAAAGTATAAAAACCAATTTCTATATAATTGAAGCATCTTAGCCTCTATTATAATTTTTAATCACAATCATTTTTTTTTTAATTTACGGTACGTAGGGTCGGAAATTTGAAATCCATCATTTAAATAAAAACATATTTCATACACCTATATATACAAAGTTAACAATTTTTTTAAATTACAATCATAATAAAATATTACATTTATTTAATTAACCAAATAATTAATTATTATATTATAATTAAATTATAATTACTTAATAATTAACTAATAAATTTGAACATAATTGAACAATTAATTCATATGTAATAGAACTTGAACCTAAATTTAAGTCTTCAGAATTTTAGGATTTTCTTATTGTCACTAAGTGAAAATCTCATTGGCTAAAGTCAATACTTCAACTATTAAAGTTTAAAATTTTAATGCGAAAGTCTGAATTCAAATTTTGAGATGAACATAGTAAGATTTATAGGATGAATGTGACATTTATCAAAAATTCTGAGTCAAATGGTCAAATGGCCTGTCTAGTTAAGCCCTATTAACTAGATATGATAAAGTGGAATAAATCAAACAACTGCGAGATTTTGTCAACAAAAATGGATCTATAATATTCCACTTTGAGCTCACTTCTAGATGATTTTAACACTGAAAATCTATTTGATGCGAAATGCGAAGAATCTCATTTGATACGTGTGCTGTTATTATTGGATTCTAAACATCCATAATACAGTGAGAATATTTCAATTACGTATTCTTTTCATGCCATAATATATCTAAAGTTGAATATATCGTGATCCATATGAAAATTATTTCTATACAAGTTGTATTTGTTCTTTATTGATTTGAATTTTGAAAGTTGAAACCTTTAAAATTTTTAAATAGGTGTTGACTATTGTTTGAGATATTTTTTGGTTTAAAGGGTAAATTTGTCATCTCTTCTTATTAAAGATAGTTAACAAACAATCAGAGATATATTTTATTTTTTGATGGAGTAAACATGTTAAGCCGACCCGAATTCACCAAGTCAGATCAGTTCGATCATCTTCCCAATCTATTAGTTAGGTCCAGGAAGAGTCTTAAATCCCACATCGAACATAATAGGAGGGTCACTGGGGTATATAAGGGTTCACACCACTTTCGCCTTGTAAGGTGTCTTTTGTAGGATAAAACCATGAGGCGAAAGGGGCTAGAGCGGACAATACCTCACAAGGGTGTAAATCGTGGCATGTAGGCTGATCTAGGACGTCGAAAAGGTGAATGCCTGGGTCCCGGAGTCGCGCAGGTTCGGAGCTTAAGTCTTGATCCGTGACAAGTGGTATCAGAACTAACCCTAAACCGTTCGATCCACGTCAAGTACCTCAAAGAGAGGCAAGCAGGGTGGTCAACCTCCATGACGAGGGCGTCACGAGAACTAACCCTAAACCGTTCGATCCACGTCAAGTACCTCAAAGAGAGGCAAGCAGGGTGGTCAACCTCCGTGATGAGGGCGTCACGAGGTTGGGTGCGGGAGAATGTCACGGACCTAAGAAAGAGTCCTGAATCCCACATCGAACATAATAGAAGGGTCACTGGGGTATATAAGGGTTCACACCACCTTCGCCTTGTGAGACGCCTTTTGTAGGATAAAATCGTGAGGCCAAGAGAGGTCAGAACGGACAATACCTCACAAGGGTGTGAATCGATGTTCAGGTCTCAGAGCCGCGCGGGTTCGGAATTTAAGTCTCGATCCATGACAAATTCACATGCTTATGTCACGATTAAAAGAAAGTATTGGTGTTGAACTTTATTAATTTAATTAATTAGGCAATCTCTTGGCAATGCGTGACAGAACATTGAAATGCATGAATTTCGTGGATGCTTGTCCCTTTGATTGGTGTGTTACATGAATGCCATGTTTGGTGGCAATCCAATTTTTCCAATACTTTTGGTGGTAGGTGACATGAGATGACATTATATATCATCACATCGCTTCAACATTTTTTTTTTGTCACTTTTTACAATATAGTACAAACTAGGCAAATTAAGAAATACCCATAAAATTAAAATTTTCAACAGTTTAATTTTTTTCCATGTGTTTGATAGTTTATATTAAAAGCCACTTAATAGAATTTTCTATTAATTCTCTCTATTTTCTTAATCGGTTGCCGGAAAGATAACCGAGAATCGAGGAGAAACGATTGCTTCACATTGTCTTGCTATATATATGGGCTGAAAGGGGCCGAAAGCACATAGATGAGACCTTTTAAAATGGGTATCTGGAGGAGCCCTTTTATTGGGTACAAAGTGGGCTACGAAGCCCACTTAAACCCAATTTATTATTGAAAGTCAATTATTACATAAAATTTTACGAGATAAGGTCCAAATCCATCACTAATGATGGATCAAATTGAAATCATTTATTTATTTTTAACAAGTGTAAATTGTACACTTTAATTCGGTTTAAAAATAATTTTATAAAATATCCTAACTTTTGATATTTTTTAATCAAATCATGCTACTTACCCAATACCACATACAGTTAATTGGATAAATTCAAATGTGAGTCTTTCGATTCGTGAATAAATTATTTAATTTATAAATGAGATATTATAGTTAAACCAATAGATTATTGCCACGTTAAGGGAACAAATGAGGAGAGACAAAAGTAAAGGGACAAATAGTCTTTTGTTTTTTTCGAAGTAAATTTTACCGTTGTTATTAAATTTTCACAAAAATCTCATTTAAATCATTAAATTTTAATTTATATAAATAAAATCATTAAATTATGGAATTCGATTCCCTTAATAAGAAAATTAATGGAAAAATGATTTCATTATCAGGTAAATGACCACATTAGTGTCATTTCAGGTCACATCAGTTGGCATATACAGTTCACTTTTTTTTTTCTCAAAATTTTGATTTGATTTTCATATTAGCTGTTGTGTGTGATTTTATGCTCTTTTTATATCTTGGGTTGTTTTTCGGTTGAATTTTTATAATAATTGTTAATGAAAAATCATAGATTTGGGTGGAGTTGATTGGGCTTTCGACAGGGTTGGTTTTGATTGGTGTGTGGTGTCAGTTAGAGGTGTAATTAAGTTGAGTCGATACAGTAAAAAATTTAAGTTTGAATTTGATTTTTAATTTGAGGTTCGATATTTGATTTAAATTTGATCGAATTTTATTTTAATTCGAGTTCGATTTGTAATCAAAATCGAATTATTCAAACTCGTTCGATTAAGTTCGATTAATATGTTAAAATAAATTCGATTCTTATATTCGATAAGAGTTCGATTATTTATATTCGAGTTCGAACTTGAATTCGATATATTTTATTAATTAAAATAATAAAAAATTTAAATATAAAAATTTGATTAGATTCACGAGCTACTCGAGTTAAATATAAAAATATTTGAACTTGACTCGATCGATAAATCGAACTACTCGAATTTGAGTTCGATTCGATAATAATCGAATCGAATTTAATTTTTATTCGAATTGAACATGAATAATTTGTAAGTATTAATATATCATTTATACTCATAATAACAATAGGTTTAAAACAAGACAAAAAATTAAAATTTTCTTTTATTTTTGTTATGTTTTTTGTTGCAGGAATTGGATTTGCAGTGTTTTCTTTTTTTTTTTTTTCCTTTTTGTGTGTCTTAAAAGGTTGATGTGATATTTAAAAGAAAAGTTATTGTTGCAATAGCTAGTGGGCAGTTTACTTGGTAATTTATGTTTTTTTCTATTAATTTTTTTAATAAAAATTGTTATTAGGCTTGATATAATTAAAAAATTGTAATGATATAAATTAAAATATAATAACTTAAATAAGATTTTGATTAAAACTCAATAACTAATTATGAAATTTAAGTAGCATTTGATTTTAAAAAATAAAATTATTTTTTATTTTTATTTTTTAAAACATAAGAAAATGAGTGAAAATGTATTTAATAACTGAAAATGAAAATAAATTTTTTAAAAAACAAAAATAAAAATGAGTTGAAATATGAAAACAAAAAATATATACTTTTAATTGTAAAAATAAAATATGTACATTATTTTTTTATTTTTTTACAAATTATTATATTTGAACTTTTTAATGTTATTAATTAATTAATAGATATTATATTTATAATTAGATGGCATTAATAATAATATCATTAAATATTTTATTTATTTTTTATTTTTACATTTTTTAAAAAATAATTTTTATTTTTATTTATCAAATCATTTTTAAAAAACAAAAACCAAAAAATAAAAATAAAAAATATTTTTTAAAACCAAACAGAGCCAGTATTGCCCTTTTCAATCAAACTTATTACCCATCATTTAAAAGTTTTATTTTTTTAAAAGAATTTTTAACAAGAAAAAATAATATTTTTATAAAATATTTTAATTTTTGGTTATTTTTAATAAACTTAAAAAAATACATGATAAAATTATACACATTCCAAAACGAGTGAAAAAAATTGATACATCATCTAAAGTGGTAAATTTAGATCTTATTTCAATTTTTAAGAGTTCCAATTTTTTTAATATTGAAAATATAATAGTAGGATAAAAAAAATTAAAAAATTTTAAAATTAAACTTTGTCTAATAAAGTCCACCCAACATGACGTGATCATATTTTCTTTTTCAAAGTGAAAGTGAAAATTCCGACAATCTTAAAACTCGAAAGTTAGAACTGAAACTACTTGTAGTACTTCACTTGATAACCGAGTTACTGCCTTCAACTTTCCCTATCTTTCGAAAAACAGAATCCCGAAGAAATGGAAGACAGCCAAACCAAAGCCACCATCAGCAGCCGACTCCAAACCATAAAGCAAAAATCAGGCAAAACCTACAAGCAGTTAGCGGAGGAAACTGGGTTAACGAACGTCTATGTAGCTCAGCTCCTTAAACGCCAAGCTCAGCTCAAGCCTCAAACCGCCTCTAAGCTACGGTCAGCTTTGCCTGACCTCCCTGAGGAGCTTCTCCATGAGATGATGAAGCCACCCTTGCGCTCCTATGATCCTAACCTTATCCAAGAACCAACTGTTTACAGGTTTTTCTTACATAATTCATATAAAATTGCAAAAAAATTAGGATTTTTTTTTCATACCTTTTTTTTTTTTTTAATTTCAGGTTGAATGAGGCTGTTATGCATTTTGGTGAGAGTATAAAGGAGATTATCAATGAAGAGTTTGGTGATGGCATGTAAGCTTTTTAATTGCAATTCATTTATTTTGGTTGTTTGAATTTGATCTAATTTGTGAGTAGAAGAAATGGTGAGCAAAATTTGGAACTTTTATCCAATTTGAATTTAGAAAAATAAGCTGATTTCTGATTGTTTGATTCATTTCCCGAGTGAATTGTCTTTGGGTGTTCTCATTGGGATGCTTGATTTCAAGTTAGAATAGGATATGGAAGTTGAATTCAAATAGTGCACTATAGAACAGGAATTAAGGCAGGCAGGCAGCAAAAGGGACTTTTCATGTAAAATTGTTCTACTAATTGGAGCAATGAATGATTCATCAGAAAAGATATGGGATTGATTTTGGTTTATACTGAAATGCATTAGATACACTTGGAAGTGATGGAAGATTGGATTGAGTTTCAAACATGGAAAGCTTAAACAAGTTGTGAGAAAATGGATTTGAATTTTCATGTTTCCATTCATTAAAACAAGTTCGTTTTTGTTTAGCATGTCAGCTATAGATTTCTACTGCTCTGTTGACAAAGTTAATGGAGTGGACGGGAAGGAACGCGTTGTTGTGACATTTGATGGGAAGTACTTGCCTTATTCTGAGCAGGTTAGTTGCCTTTGGTTTTCATAGTTCATTACTAAAACATACATCTGCCCATTTTTTTTTCTTGTTGGTTTGAAGTATACATGAAAGGGTCTAAGACAACAACTAGTGGTGAATGTAGATGTAGGATTATATACTTTGGTTTTTATAGTTTAAAACTTTAAATAGATTTCCAAGTTTAATACAATCTGAAAATTTTCTTATTAGAGCAACATATTTCATAACTGGTTCAGAAACTTGCATTTGCCCTTGGCAAGATGAAACAACATGGGTGCTAAACTTGTTTCATTATTAGCAAAATTCTGCTTGGATTATCCTAGTATATGACTTGATTAACTTGTCTGATCCATAAATCTTTGTGCATGTTAGCTGACAAACACTCACTTAAAATTCCTTTCTAATGGCAGAAATCAGAGCATATGGTTTCAAGACAACGGCAGAAATGAAGTTAATGAACAGTCAGAAGATGCTGTGATGCGGATGCGATAAAAACTCCTGTTTTTCTTCTTAAAGGAATAAGTCTTTGCTGTGTTATGTAGCTGTATTCTGTTTGAGTGAGACTTGGAGCTACTTGTGGAAAACAATAAACTTTGTTTGTGTACTCAATAAATTTGAACTCCTCATTGATAATATCAAGAATTCAGGATAATTTGAGCATTCACAGTTTTCTGCCTTAAATTTCAATGGCCTTGGATGCTCGTTTGCAAACTTTGAATATTTTCTTTTACATCCTTTCATTTGCAAACTTTGAATATTTTCTTTAAGTCTTTCTTTTTCTTTTGAAATGTGCTTTTGGGGATACTTCACTTGAATCAAAATCAACTTTGGCATTAGCGGTGCAGCTTGGATCAGGTTAACCCGATTTTGGCATTAGGGTGTAGCTTGGACAAAGCAAACCCGAGATCCAACCCGACTTGCTAATATGGGTCGGATTGGGTTAAAAAAGGGCATAGTTTGGATTGCATTATTGTTTTATGGGTTGACAGCATATCAGGTTGTTTTATGGATTGCTTGGATTGAAGCCTATGAACCGGAAGGGAGAAGCATATGGCAAGTAATAGCTAAGCAAACCAGTAGTTGGAACTAGAGGAAATTGCTCCAGTTGAGGCAGATTGCATTGAAATTTCTAAAAAGGGAGAATGGAGTGGAGGTTTGGCCATTCCACTGGGGTGGTACGTGGCTGTCATGGAATGGAATGAGATCATACCAAAACAAGGGAAAGTGGGATGGCAAAAAGTCATAGGGTTCAAATATCACATTCCAAAACGCTCATTGATAACCTGGATGACCATTTTGAATAGGCTTTCAATCAAGGATAAGATGTCATTGTGGGGAATGGAAATTGATAGTAGATGCTGCTTGTGCCAAAATGCAGATGAGACTAGAGATCCTGTTTATTTGTGACTATAAAAAAGAATTCTGGCAGAAGATACTTCAGCCATGCAAGATTGACAGAAGGGTAGGAAGCTGGTATACAGAGCTGAGTTGGGCAAAGAACATATTAAAGGAAAAAGCCTTGATCTCTACCTTATTGAGAATTGCCTGGAATGCGTGTATATATCTAATATGGGAGGAAAGGAATCGGAGGATGCTCAGGCAAATGGAGGTGTTAGAGAGTGTAAGACGGAGACTGCATGGATTGGCGCAAGTCTCTGTTTTGCATGATTATGAGATCTCAATAAAAATTTATATTAAATTTATAAATCATTCAATAAATTACTGACAATAAAAACTAAACTTAAATTTTATGAATAAAATATTCAATTTTTATTAATTTAATAATAATATGGTAACAATGCATTTTTGCATTTGATCAAAAGAGAAAAGCACAAAATTCTCTTCTTTTTCTTTTGAAAATGAAGAAACATTTCTGTAATTGGGCCTATTTCAAAGCCCAATGATATTTAAATACCTCCCTTATCCCGAAAATGTCAAAGCCCTTTCAGTCCTAAAACCCTCACACTCTAGTCCGTCTCGAATTAATCTCTCCACATGGCACAAACCGTAATACGTGCCGCCAGCTCCATCCTCACGCGCCACCTTACTCTCTCCTTTATGCTCCCCAAACGCCTACTCTCCACCCAATCCATCACTCACCCTCCTTCCATACCTTCTCTCCTCTTCTCCGGTCGCCGTCTTACCCCTTTTTCCTACGCTGTCCAAGTTCTTCCTCTCGGCCTACCTCGCTTCACCGCCATCCGATGCCGCGTCAACCGCTCTGGAAACTCTGCTTACTCCCCGCTGAACTCGGGGTCAAACTTCAGTGACCGGCCACCTACCGAGATGGCCCCGCTTTTTCCGGGGTGTGATTATGAGCATTGGCTTATTGTTATGGATAAGCCCGGTGGAGAAGGAGCTACCAAGCAGGAAATGATTGATTGCTATATCAAAACCCTTGCTAAAGTCGTTGGCAGGTATATTTTTAATCTTTTGGTGGATTTTTGGGTGTTTGGATGGTGTGAAAATGTGGGAAAATGGGAGGAAAATAATGGGTTAAGGTTGGAAAGGAAGATAATTTTTCGTTTTTAAGTTGGTTAATTTTATGGGTATAGGGTTTGTTTTCTTAAAGATTGATTCTTAAGTAGGTTTGGTTATCTAATATATTCATTTCTGGGTTTGGACTACTTTGATATTGCTTACACTATTTTGACTTAGTTTTTATTTTTATTTTTTTAAGATTATCGTGTTTGATATTTATTTGTTAGTTCTCTATGTCAGTGAGGAAGAGGCTAAGAAGAAGATCTATAACGTCTCCTGTGAGAGGTACTTTGGTTTCGGCTGCGAGATTGATGAGGAGACCTCAAATAAGCTAGAAGGTCTTGCTTTTAGTTTTCCTTCAGTTGGTGGATTTATTTTTTGTTTTCTTTTCGTGATGGAAGTTTATGTTCTCTAATATATAAATTTTGTTCTTTCCTTGTTAACAGGATTGCCTGGTGTTCTCTTTGTGCTTCCGGATTCTTATGTTGACCCTGAATACAAGGACTATGGGGGTAAGACTTTCCAGAGTAAATAGTTTTGCAAAAACTTTTGCTAGTATTTGCATAAAATGATGATTGAGGACGTGCATCCATTCTCAAATTTGCTCTTGACTTATCTTTCCTTCTGAGGTCATATGACAATGTCCGTTGATCTTTTATGTATATAAGCTTCTTCTCCTGTTTAATGGTTAAGTGCCATTAACATGCGTGCTTTTCTTTTTATTTGGACTATGCGATTGCATTTGTGTAATTGCTTTTGCCTGTTTATTTTGTTTCTTACAATCTCTAATTGCCTATCAGTAGATATAAAAGTTAAATTATGCATGGGAACGTTCTATTTGTTTTAATTGACCCCAACAAGGTAATTAGCATGCCCAATATTTAGCAAGTGTAATGCCTGGTTCCATTTTAGACAGTACGTGCTAGTCCATCTTGGCAAAGCTAAAATGCTTATGGGCAATGTTTAGTTTTGAATGCTAATGGACTTACATCAAATGTCTCTCTGATTGCTTTGTGCTTCGTTTTTTACATGGAGCTCAAAATAGTAGGGAGAAGACATTAATATATGGTTTGCACCATCAAAGGTGGACCAAGTTATTGTTTGAGTATTTTACCTAGGCATTTAGTCCATCTTGGCAAAACTAAAGCATCTTATAGGCAATGGTTTAGTTTTGAATGCTAATGGACTTACTTCAAATGCCTCTTTCACGAATCTCTGTTCTCATCCATATGGAGTTCGGATCAGTGGAGATGAAACATTAGTTTGTGGTTTGGAAATAGCGTAGGGCATCTTTCTCTTACCAATAACCAATCATTTGTCTCAGTTCTCATATCTTCTTTTTTTTTTTTTAATTCTTATCATTTTATGTTAAATAGTCATGGCTGCTCTGGGTGATGGGAATAGCCTATTGTGAGATAAGAGTGCCAGTCATGATACTGTGGCCATGTTGACAACTGAAATACTATCGGAGAAATATGTAGCAATTATGGTAACTTGTACTATGGGAATTGTTCTTTTCAGAAGATAGCATCAGTCCATCCTGGCAAAGCTATAGAGTTTCATTTGTACTGTTTAGCTTCTAATGCTAATGATCTTGAACAAAGTGTCTTTGTATCTGTACTTCTGATGCTCTATGGAGCTTCAGCTTGGAGAAGATTATACTTAATAGATGTAATGTATGTATATATTCATATAGGCTTTACTCAAACATGTAATGAGTCAATATCTGCATGTTATGTGCATATTTGTTATTATCAACAAGATGAAATGAATATTATTCATTGGAAGTCTGGAACAGAAATGATCTCATAAACTGTTTACATCAGTCCATCTTGGCAAAGCTACTAGCTTTAAGTTGGCAATTTGTAGCTTTGAATGCTAATGGACTCCCATCGAAGTCCTCTTGATACTGTTCTGTGCTTTCATTTACGGAGTTGCAGAATTATTGGAGAAGATACATAAAATGTACATGTGTCAATATCTGCATGTTATGTGCATACTTGTTACCTGAAGTGAATATTGTTCAATGGAAGTTTGGGACGGAAATGATCTATTCAAGAGCTGATAAACCCTTTACCGCAGTCCATCTTGGCAAAGCTACTAGCCTTGAGTTGGCAATGTGTTGCTTTGAATGCTAATGGACTCACATCGAAGTCTTCTCGATACTCTTCTGTGCTTCATTATGGAGCTGCAGAGTTATTGGAGAAGATACATAAAATTTGCCTTTGCGTGATTCTATGGTTCTCATGATTATTTTTGCTACTCAGTATTGTGGTTCTCAGAAGGAAAATAAATGATACACAAACTTCTAATCTATGGTACTTTTTAAGTATTAATCTCCTGATTACAAAGAAAAGGATTTAATCTTCTGCCTATGTTATTGGCTTGTTCCATATTTCGTATCCTGGTTCATTTCACTTCATATTGTACGTTAGTGTCATATATCTATTTAATATTGAGTTTCTGTCGCAAGGTTAGGAAAAATCCTTTGCTAGAAGTTTACCTGCTCTTCTTTTGCTATTGTACATGAAATTTATTTGACGTTTGTACCTCTCACTTTGCAGCTGAATTGTTTGTTAACGGCGAGATTGTTCAAAGGTCACCTGAAAGACAAAGGAGGGTGGAACCCCAGCCCCAGAGAGCCCAAGACAGACCAAGGTACAATGACAGGACTCGATACGTGCGTCGCAGAGAGAACATGCGGTGAAACATTTGATTACAAAGAAATGCTGTATAGAAATCATGGAAGTAGTGAGCTTTCTGATGTGTTCCTGGACATATCGAAGCATTATTATGAGGATATGGATAATGCGTTGATGTTTAATGTAGGAGTGGTTCTTTTTCTGATCTTGAATGTTTTGTGCTGGACTTCCCCACTTAAAGTTGTATGAACCTTATGATATCAAGTCATGCTCGACTTTGATTAATTTTTCTTCTTGTTTCCCCCATGTTTTCAGTAACACGAGTGATGACAAAGGTGTCCTGTAGTAGCCTTGAACTCTTGATTTATTTCCTTGTTATAAACGGTATAATACTTTTTCTAAGCAAGTGAAAAAAAAAACAATAGTTCTTTTTTTTAAGCCTTACGTGCCCATTCGAAATCATTGTATGCAGTTGGGATTGAATTTTTTTTATTTTAAAAAATTAAAATTATTTTAATCGAATTGAATATTTTTTTATTAATTTTTATATAACTTTTAATTTTTTATAAAATAAAATAACTATTTTGTATTTAAATTATAAATATAATAGTAAAAATTAAAAATTTTAAAAATTGATAATAAAATTTAATTTAAAATCGAATTAATTCAATTTTAAAATAAAATCGATTTAATTTAACTTTTAAAATTTAGAAATATTATATATTAATTAAAATAAATCAAATTGAATTCACTCTAATTTTTTAAATAGAAAAATTATGCATTAAAAAAGAATCATATGCTATATGTTAAAAAATAAAAAAATTTATAAGTTTGAATTAATATTACAAGAAGAAAATGATAGTAGTTCTAAATTTTTTTTTTGAATTTTTTTCATGCCTACATGCCTAAGCAAGTAAGAAAATAGATTTATCATTTATTTTTGAAAAAATTTCATATGCACTTCAAAATGAATTTTCCTTTATACTCCTTATGAATTTTTTTTTAATTTATAATTTTGTGGTTTATTTTCGTTGTTGTTAAAAGATAACGATGATAAAAATTAAACAGATTTTAATGAAATTATAAAATTACCCTCACTTTTATTTTTTAACATCATTACTTTAATTATATATAAAGTTTATCTTTATTTTTTTTAATTCTGTTCTTTTTTTTTTTATCCTTTCCCGTCTCTCTTGTCACTACTTCCAAAAAAAAAAAAAAAAACCCCAATTTGTTGTTAAACTCTCCCATCAAATTTCCCTTATAATAATGACTTTAAAAAATAGAGTAATTCCCATAAAAGAATGCAAACAAAGAAAAACATTTTCCAACAAATGTAAATTAAACAAAATAACCAAAAAGAAAAAGGTCTCCATTCCTTCCATTTAAGGATAACTATATTAACTCAGTTTCTAGGTTTTCAACCCAAGGCGGAGCAGCTCTACCACCCTTACTCGTCTTGTCTCTGCCTCGACCACCACCCTTTCTCAAGGTACATCCTTTTTACTTGCCCTGTTTTTCTCTATTCTCTGTTGGGTTTCTTTCTTAGAAATTTTCCTTTTGAAAAAAATGGAACTTTGGGTGAAAATTTGATTTTTTTTTCCTACTTCATTTCCCCCTTCTGGGTATTTGTTACAATTTCATTTATTTATTAGAAAAGAACTTTAAAGAGTAGAATTAATGGGTTTCTTTTATTGTTTTAGTGTGTCTAAGAAAATGGTTACTTGGGGGCTTAAAAGTTTAAATGCTCGGGAAAAATTTTTCCTTTGTTGTAAAACTTTGCTTGGATTCTTTTAATAATGGTTGTACCAATGAGAATGGTATTAGAAGTCTCAATTTCTTTAGTAAAATAGGTTGCTATTTGTGGATTTCTTCATAATTCTATAGTAAAGAAGGGATTTTTTAATTTTGTTTTATAACTGAAGCTCTGTTATGGTATTCATCTTGGTTATAGGGCTGAATGCTTTGTTTGCTTTTTTAGTAAATTTGACAAGTAAGAAGTGCAGTTAGAATACTTGGCAAGATGGGAAGATCGAGTAGGCCTAAAGAAAAGTATGAAAAAGGTGGTGAGCTCCCACAACATGATTCCCATGAAGGAACTTCTGCCCGGACAAGGCCTTTCAGCTATGATGAGATTATGTTTAAGAGGAATAGTAAAAAAGTTAATGAAAATGCTGAAAGTGTCAAAGAAGGAAATACAGAAGTGGGTAGGATAGCAAAGGAGAGGCCAATCCAGAAGGATATTAATGTTAAGAAATCTGAAGGAAGGCACAGACACAGTAAAGATTTTTCTCGTGGTCATGAAAAGCACCTATTGGATGAATTGGAGAAGAGTACTTCCCACAAGAAAGTTGAGAACGCATCTAGGAGAAACGATAGCATGTCTAAGCAGAAAAATGGGGAGAATCATGGGTCGGAAAGAAGATTGAAATCTGAAGTGAGAAAAGATATGGGTGTTAAGGATGAAGGCGAATACGAGAAACAAATTCATGTGAGGACAAAAAATGAGCGACCTGCTGGTGGTTCTGAAAATATAGATGCAAAGAAGCATTCAAGAGATATAGTGGAGAGATATAGGCATGCAGGCAGAATTAAGGGAAAATCTGAGAGAGATATCAAGAGAAAACATCAAACTAGAGATGGTGAACAGAATAGAAAAAGGAATACTACAAAAAAGCATGATATCCGAAAGGGGCAGGCTTCAGAAAGTAGTGAAAAAAAAGAGAAGAAAGAATCATCAAGATCCCATTACGAGGAATCACACCATAAAAGGAGACGGTCACAGAGCCGAGAGTGTGAGGACAGGCATGGAAGATCTATTTCTTTCTCACCAAGGGCACACAAGCGTGCATCTCATCATGTGTCAGAGCACGAACAGTTCTTACATGGTGTAAAAGGGAGGACTGGAAGACAGCATTCTGATGACAGGAGCAGAATGACAAATAATGGCTCAAGTGGCCACCATAGGCGACATGGTGTGTCCACAAGTGGTCTTGGTGGCTACTCTCCAAGGAAGAGAAAGACTGAAGCTGCTGTTAGGACACCCTCCCCAGCTCATCGCTCAACGGAGAAGAGAACAGCTAAGTGGGATCTTGCACCTGCAGAAACAGAAAAGATAGTTTCTGGTTCAGTTTCGTCTAATTTACAGGCATCAAGTCAAACGATTTCCTTAAACATGCATGCAGTGTTCAATGCTGTTCCTAGTGTTTCAATTACAAGGAAGCCTCTTGTTGTGGCTTCGCCTAGCTCTTTATCATCAAAGCATACTGTCTCCTTTGACTCTGTTCAGTTAACAGAAGCTACCAGGCCTATGAGAAGGCTTTATGTAGAAAATGTGCCAGCTTCAGCCTCTGAGAAAGCTATTATGGCATCCTTTAATAATTTTTTGCTTTCATCTGGCATCAATCATATTCAAGGAACGCAACCATGTATTAGTTGTATTGTAAGTCTCTGATATATTTTCTGAATGATGTACATTTTACTCTTGTTAAACATATGAGTGCAACATAGGAAGATGTCATTTTATGCCTTACAAATCTTAACTGCAGATACACAAAGGAAAGGGCCAAGCTCTTGTTGAGTTCCTTACACCAGAGGATGCTTCTGCGGCTCTTTCTTTTGATGGCAGCACCTTCTCTGGTTCCATTCTTAAAATCAGACGCCCTAAAGACTTTGTTGAAGTGGTAGTACAGATGAAAACTAGATTTATTTAATTATCAATCTTTGTGCAATTTTCTCTTTTCAGGTTTATACAGTTTTCTTCTTTTCTTGTTTGTTTATATCTGATTTTATTGTGAACTATCTTCGGGAACCTCTTTTGTGGAACTGGTGATATTATTAACACTGCAAATATTTGGCTCAAAAAAAAAAGTATGACTAGAAATTTGTTAGTTTGTGTTTATAATTATTTTCGTTGGTATAATGACTGTTTGGAATGTTCTGTTAATGAACTAATTTAGTTGGGAGCAATTTTATGTATATATTATTTTTTACTGTACTTTGATATGTTGATTAGAAGTTTGCAATGTTTTCAATTATTTCTTTTTGTTTACAGAAGTAATTATGATTTTCTTTTCCCTACAGTTAAGTGTGCAATCCTTAAAATGTTCCTTAAATTGATTAGTTCTTACAATATTTTACTTGGACTTAGTATTACTCTCTTTAAATCCATAAACTTGACACTTCGGGGTATAAATGTCTGCTGCACACTGATACATGGGAAGGATATTAAGGTTCTGTTTGGTACACCGGTGCAGGGCAATGGGGGCCCTATACACCATACTGAACCCCTTATTTTCCACTAGACCCATGTGCCAAACACACCCTAACTACATGATATTATTCCATTATGAGAAGCTGAGAGTTAAGACAAGAAGCCAACTAGTAGGAAATTTGGAGATTGCATGTGGTCTTGTTACCGATGCATTTATGCTATTTCAGTCATTGGTCTATGTTACTTTGAAACTGATGAAGACCAAAAACTGTTTCATTTCAATGTTTCTGTACATCAGGGTGCTTGTTTGCCATTCAGAATTGTGTTTTACTCTCAATCATCAAATAATCTGGATTATTTTTATATTTTTTGCCTTCATTTATCTTGTCATAGATAGAATAATTATAACTCAATTGGTGTTTTCTGTTCAGCCAAAAATGCTAGTACATTTCTACTGCTTTACTGTTTCTGAGGTTATTGTGGTTACCATCGTAGCAGGTTTTCAGACAGTTGCTATTTTCATGCAGACTGGTGAACCACAGAAATCAGAGGCAACAGTGACCACAGTCAGTGATATCGTGAAGGATTCACATCACAAGGTATGTATTCGTAATTTGAGTCTGCTACATTTGCAGTGAAATGACTTGTATTGCATACTATTGAAGTGCTGCCGGTATGTTTTCTAATTTATTTATAGCTGCCTTGCGGCTTTTTTTTTTTTCCTTTTCTGGTCGTTACAATATTACTGGTGCACACTTTGTTGATGTATTCAACTTATACGGTTTTTTGCAATTTTTATTCCCTTTTGTTGTGAGTTTGGTGCAGATCTTCATTGGTGGAATTTCAAAGGCTCTTTCACCTGAAATGGTAATAAGATTTTAAAATTCTCAATGCTTCTCAGAAATTAGCTTTAGGGCTCTTATATTCCTGCATCATCTTCCTCCTCTCGACTTATTATTCTTTTCTCTTTCTTATTTTCATTTCTAATTTTATCACTCTTTTAAACTGACTAGGATTTGTATGCCATTTTCAGCTTGTGGAGATCGCTAAAGCCTTTGGTCCTTTGAAGGCATATCACTTTGAGATTAATGAGGATCTAAGTGAACAATATGCTATTCTTGAGGTAACATGGAGTGCATTTGCTTCTGTTTTGTGCTTGTTTTTGTGTAAATATGTCAAACCTTTTGTGCAAAAGAGTGTCATCATTGCAGCTGTTCTCCCCTACTCATTTTCTTATTTGCTTCTGTTCTTTCCTTATGCATAGTCTCTATTCTTTGCTTATTATTCAATCTTTTCTTTAATGCTTGTAAATGAATCTGCTCTGCCTAACTTGAATATTGGATAACTTTAACATATCAGTATGTAGACCAATCTGTTACCCACAAAGCCTGTGCGGGTCTGAATGGAATGAAGTTGGGAGGGCAAGTAATCACTGCAGTTCAGGCTGTTCCTGATGGCTCATCCTTGGTACTACACAAGCACTGTTATTTTCTTGCAAGCATCAGCTTTTTTTTTTTCCCTCATTAGCTATAACAGTATCTGGAGATTTGTGCTAACTGGAAAGAAAACATGTCCTAGGGAAATGGTGGAGACCAACAATCCTGTGTTATCCCTCAATTTGCTAGGCCACTTCTTCAGAAACCTACTCAAGTCCTTAAGCTTAAAAATCTGGTAAAGTATTATGGATTAGATGCTTGTGTAGTTATGTTGGTAATGCTTTCATGTTTTGACTTCCATGCCATAGATGTGCGCTACGTAAGTTTATTTCTAGTCCACTCACTGACCTTTTTTTTTTTTTTTCTGAAAGGAAAACCATATTCCTTATCGTAATTCTTGTCCCTGTTTTTGTGGATTAGTTCCCAGATGACTTGTCATCACTATCTGAAGCAGAGGTGGAAGAAGTACTAGAAGACGTACGGTTAGAGTGTTCCAGGTCTGACAAAAACTCCCCATTTGAATTTTATCTCTTTTCATAATCATATTTCTTTATTGGGTTAATCTGAAATATATATGTTGAACCATCAATCCTCCAGGTTTGGTACTATTAAATCTGCTAATGTTGTCAAGCATGCAAATAGTATCATCACAACTGGAGATAACAAAATGGATGATAATACGAGGGAAACTGGGACCAGGCAGAACCTCGAAGATGATGAAATAAATGTTGAAAAAGAGACAATGGAAGAAGTTACTGATGGAAACTCAGGAGGAACTGCTGGGATAAAATTTCCAAGTGACTCTCACGATGTAATGGCATGCAGCAGCTATGATGATGAGAAACTTGTGGGCAACCTTTTGGACAATGAGTTATGTCCACAAGTTGAGTTTGAAGGTAATATCAATAGCGAAGACATAAACCAAGGGAGCTTGGATGCTGAGCCATGTCAGCTTGAGGGGCTTGATAGCAACAGTGCTGGTGGAGCTCAGATTGATACTGAAATAGCTGTTGAAGATCAGGCCTTGGAGACTGCAGACAAGACAGTTTCTCAAAGGGTTGCTAATTCGGTGAATACCTCAAAAGAGGAATCAGATTATCATTCTGATGGGAATGCCGATAATATTCAAAGTGACGCCACAAATTTTGGGAAGATATTGGCAGCTGAAGAAAACTCAAATCTGGAGGAAGTCAATGGAGAATTACCAGAAGGTCATACTGAGTTGGCAGTCGAAGATCCTATCACTATGAGTGTCTCAGTAACAATCTCTCAACAGATCCCTATGCTGCTGAATACCTCAAAAGAGAAACCAGACTCTCAATATGAGAAGATTGCTGATAATACTCAAAGTGCAGTCATAAAAGTTGAAAAAAAATTAGTGTCCAAAGAAGATCTGCAGCAGGAGGAAGCCAACGGAAAGTTACTGGAAGCTGTTGATGGTTCTACTGGTAGTGTGAGAATGGAATCAGATACTATTGATGAAGATGAAAATAGCAAGGAGAACAATTTGAAACAAATTTTTGAGCCTGGCTGCGTGTTTGTTGAGTATAGAAGAATAGAAGCTTCATGCATGGCTGCTCACTGTATACATGGACGGCTATTTGATGACCGGATTGTGACAGTGGAGTACATTGATCCAGACCTTTACCGGGTGAAATTTCCAAAATGAATTGGATCACTGCAATTGGAGATATAACTCCATCTAACCTTCAAACTCCATGTGTGCTTATTTTTGTAGTATTTTGTGCGTCATCATGGTTCATTGGAGTATCATTACAGTAGTCCTCGGCCATATGACACGAGGAAATCTCACTTTGACTAGCTTGGACTTATAATTTTTTAAGGCTTCAACTAGTCTGTACTTAGAACAGGACCCTTTGTTGCAATATGTTAGGCACTGGAAGTAACAGGAGCTACGTCTATCTGACGATCTTGGTGCTGGTCACTCCATTTATCAACCGTCTGAGAACCCAATCTGTCTCTTTCTTCTTTTATTTGAGATTGCTGCTGTAAAAGGAGATATGCTACTGATAGTTAGACGTTTGTGTGTTACACACTGGTATTTTTGTAGTCCTGCATGGATAGGGCCACTGACTTTTTTTCTTTTTTTTTTTTCATTTGATTACCATTGATGATACATTAGGAAAAATGTTAACTTGTTGTGTGGGGTAAATTTTTTTTATTTAGTTATTTTTATTTATCATATTTTTTTTACAAAATTTATTTGATTAAAAAATTAAAAAATTAAAAATAAATGAGAATGATACGTAAATATTTTAATTGATTTTTTTAATAAATTTATCTAATAAAAATAAATACTAAAAGCAAAAAGATTGAAAAAAATTAAAAATAAAAAAAAATCACTTTGGGCATTATTTTGACTTTTATATTAAGTTTAAAATATTAGTATATTAAACTAAAATAAAAAATAATTGTATTAATATAATACATATTTCTATAAAGTTAAATAAATAATAAATTGTAAATTTTAAATATGCTTCAAAATAGGTTAAAAAGAAAACATCCTAAGTATATTATTTTGATTCTTCTTAAAGTATGTTATTTTAAAACAAAACGATCAAATGTCTACTTGAATTGTGTCAAAGTAAAATATTATGAAAATATATAAATATTTTAAAAGAAAGAAAATGACAAAGTAAATAGAAAAAATTAATAAAAATTAAAAAGAAAAAAATAACTTGATACATGACATACTCTTATATGGATAAAACAAAAAAAAAATTAAATCTGAAAATATATTTATTAAATATATAAAAATAAAAAAAGATAAAAAAAAAAAAAAACAAACCCGCAACATATCTTTTGCATCAAACAAACCTCATAAAAAAAATAAATTTAAATCTTAAACAAAAAAAGAAAAAAACATAAAAAAAGTTCGGTGTAAAGTCGATCCACTTTAAAAAATAAATTTTATAAAAAATTTGTTAAATATAAAAAATTACGAAAAAAGAAGGGAAAAAGTTGAAAAAGAAAAAAGGCTGAAAGAAAGCAAAAAAGCAAAAAAATAGTGACATTTGGCTTAAATTTTGATCATATATTATCCATCCATATATTACCAAAATTTAAGTATAGAATTAATAAACCTTTTTTTTTATTTGTGAACGTAATCAGTTAAATTAAATTATATCAAATTTTATATGATTAATTTATTATTTGATTTTATTTATATTCACTCAAATGTTTAATTAATTGAGAGTTTTTTTATTTAACAATTAAAATCAAAATTGTCATCATCTTATAAAAAATAAGATAAATATAACATTTTTAATTTATATACATTTAAATTCTATCTAATTTTAATTTTCATTTACTCATTTTTCTTATAAAATATTTCATGAACTTTACTGCTACTTACATCTTGTCCAGTTGAAACTGGAAAAGCAGTGTTGACCTAAATGGCTAAAAACGTGTACCGTTACCATTTTGCAAGGAAGTTTCTTTGACAAATATAATTGGATCGAACACAATAAGTTACGTCCAAGCAAAATTGATTTAACAAAAGTATGGTTGACTGCTGACCAAATTAGGAACTGTCTTTGAAGTATCACTATCTCATCCTCCAGTCAAATGGGAAACTGACAGATGTCTTCCTTTCGTCCAAGTAATGGTTAAGTCCTTTCGTTCAACAAAAAACAGGAAGTCAATTAATTTCTTAACTTTTTTTGGAATGTTGAAGATTTCCTTGGAACTTCATGGATCGCCTTATAGTCTAGCTTGTTTTAATGCTTGGAAATTTCCTTGGAACTTCAAGGATCACCTTCTATATATAATTTTTTCTAACTTCCTATCAAAAGAAAGGAAAAAAGAAAAGAAAAGTATACAAAATTCTCTCACCATTCCCTTTTATATACCTTATCTTGTTATCCTTAACAGTCTTTCTTCAAATGGCTGAGATTCATGAGAGGTTGCGAGGGGCTGCTCAAGCAGGAAATATTGATGAACTGTATGCATTAATTCGAGAGGACGCAAATGTTTTGGAAGACATTGATCAGAAGCCATTCTTTGATACTCCACTTCACATAGCTGCAGCTGCAGGGCACGCTGATTTTGCCATCGAGATCATGAACTTGAAGCCCTCACTAGCTTTAAAGCTGAACCCTGACGGTTTTAGCCCTATTCACCTTGCCTTGCAAAATGGGCAAAAAGAGACCATCCTTGATCTCCTGGGAATTGATAAAGATCTCCTTCGTGTCAAAGGGAAGGGGGGTAAAACTCCTTTGCACTACGTAGTTGGAGAAGCAGTAGACCGTCATCTTCTAATCACATTTCTCTTGTGTTGTCCTGAATGTATCAGGGATGTGACAAATCAAAATGAGACTGCTTTGCACATTGCAGCCCAAAACAACCTATGGGAAGTTTTTGAAGTCTTGGTCGGTTGGCTTCGGAGGATAGACAATAAAGATGGCAAATTGTGGGAAAAAGAAGTTCTGAATTGGAAGAACAAGGAGGGTGAAACTGTGTTCCACATTGCGGTATCCAAAAATCAACCCAAGGCATGAACCATAATACCATCTGTGTTCTTTTTATATTTGAAACTATGAGGATTTGAATTCTGTAATCACCGAAAATCCAGCATTCTGCTGGAGATAACATGGCTGATGGTATTCCTGCTATTTTTTAAACTTACCATTGAGAGAGATCTAAATCTTTTAAACATATTATTGAAAGAGATATCTTTTTTTTTTTTTTACTTACTGATGCATTTTATTTGTTAATTAATTGTTTCTTCTATGCATCAATAATATCTGCAGATGGCAAAACTTCTACTAGAGTCTGGGATCGACAAGAACGCTAAGAATTGGGGAGGATTGACAGCCATGGATATCTTACAAGGCCAAAGCCAATTTCGTAAAAGTGAAACATTTGAAATTCTAGACTATGCTGGGTGTGTGAAGGCTTCCTCCATCCCCATTAATTCAACCTTCGATAAGTTCTTGAGATCAAAGATCTCGTTTTCTGAAAAATCAAACTTAGTCATGAGTCGGATGAGGAAAAACATATCGAATAGCACTCGCAACGCATTACTAGTAGTGCTTGTGTTAATTTTAACAGCCACCTACCAATCGGCTGTCAATCCGCCATATGACCTTGGCCAAGCATATCTTAAGCAGAACAATGTTTTCCCGGCTGCAATTGGTGTGGCTAATGATCAACCGGTTGATTTTGGTGCCCCGTTCCCGTTTGACACTCCTAATAACCAACCTGGCAACCCGTTCGACACTACAAATAATCAACAAGGTGATTCTGGTACTGATCTGAATGATCTTATTGGGTTCAAGCTTGAGCCGCTAGCCGTGTCTTTCTCTATCTTCAATGCAGTAGATTTCTTGGTAACACTTTTAGTGACACTGTTTATCCTCCCTTGGGTTCCATATGGTCAGCTGCTTCATGTTCTACTGCTGCTTGTGTTTATCTTCTTCGTGGCGTCGATGGGGTTGTCTCTTACATTGACGACTTCGAACATTGGGATTGGTGTATTTGGTGTCTTCGTAGTAGTCACAATAATTATTGGGATTTTCATTGTCAACAATAAAGTTAGAAGCAAGGAGTTCTACAGGGAGTGCATGAAAGAATTTGGTGACAGAGTACGCATTCGCAAGCACAACGACATCAATAAGAAGTAGAAGCTTTAAATTTGCTGGTTTATCTTTAATATATATTGGAAAGATATCTGCGGTTGTCACGGGTAGATATGATAATTTTAATATTTGTATTATATAAAATAATCATGTATTAATATTGTGTTTTATGCTTTTTTTTTATTTCTGTTAAATCTATATATAATTTTTGTTAAAATTTTAATTTGTATAACTTTCATTTTTTTAGTGTAGTATTTTGAATTGCTTGATTAAATATAGCTATCAACCGTATTTTTTGTAAAATTTATCTAATTAAAAAAAAAAAGAGAATAAAACATAAATATCTTGACCCCTTTTTCTCACAAAAATAATTTTAAAAAATAAATACTAAAAATTAAAAAATAAGAGAAAAATAAGAAAAGGGTAAAATGAAAAAAAGCGAAAAAAAACTCAAAAAAAATGAGAAAAAGGGAAGAAAAAAAACGTTTTACAAAATTTTTTTATTAAAAAAAAGGGGCAAAAAAAATTTTTTTTAAAGAAAGCTCATTAGCTACTTCTTGGATATCTCAATTAAGTGAATATCCATAGAATATAAATTGTTTTATTATTTTTATTCATTAATGATTCTTTTGGTTGTAAAATTTATCTAATTAAAAATAATAATAATAAATTAGGGGGTCACATGAGTTCCTATATTATTTTTTTCATAAAATTTATTTAAATAAAAATCTAAAAAAAAATTAAAAGGAAAAAAAAAAAAAACAAAAGAAACATAAGATGACATATTGAAACCTTGAGCTTGCGTTAAATAAAAGTTAAAATGAATCGAATTTATATAATGAATGAATGGATAGATAAATTATATCTTAATTATATATAAATATCATATTTTTTAAATTAAGATATTAAATAATAAAATTATTAATACAATACATATCTATAAATATAAAACTAAATAAATAATTATAATATAATTTAATATATATAATCAAAATAAAACGAAACATCACAAACTCGCATTCAACTCAACCTTAATTTTTGGTGAAAAATCTCGATTCAATCCTAAATAAAATAATACATTTATCAGATCTGTATGAATCAAAACATTTTGGATATGAATTGTTTTATTATTTATATTTTCATTAACATTTTTTAAAAAAACTAATTTACCAATTATATTCATTGTTGATTATTTAATTAAAAAAACTAAAGAAGACAAAAGAAATTGAAATGAGGTGCAACGTACATACATACGTTATTTTAAAAAAAAATAAATTATCTAACTAAAAAAAGAATTAAAGAAAAACTAAAAAAAATTTTAAAAAAAGCAAAAAAAGACAAAGGGAAAAAGTCGAGTAACTACACAACATAAAAATGATATAAAATTAAATAAATAATAAAATATATTATACATATATATATATATCTGATACGAAACAAAATATCTTAAACCCGCCTTTTATTTGGACTCAATTTAAAAAAAGAGAAAAAAAACTCAACTTAATCTTAGATTTTAAAAAAAAATGCACCTATTATATAAGGGCAAATTGAAAATTTATTAAATATAAGTTATTTTTTCATCTTTACCTCAAATTTTTTTTTTTTACAAAATTTATTTAATTTTAAAAAATAATAAAAAAACAAAGGAAATATGAAAAAGTAAAGAAAAATGAAAGAAATAAATTATTAAATTAGGATATTAAATAATAATTTTATTAATATAATATATATTTATAAATTTAAATTTAAATAAATAATTTTTATATATACCTGAGGTAAGATTAAAAACCTTAAATTCATTTTTGACCCAAGTCTGAATTAAAAAAATCTCGATTCAATCTTAAATTATTTTAAAAAATAAATTTATATTGGATTGTGACAAATTAAAACTTATTGAATATGTATTGTTTTATCATTTCAATTTTCATTGACTTGTTTTAGTACAAAAATTGTCTAACAAAAATATAAAGTAAAAAAATAAAAAGGAAACCCAATAAGAAAATACAAAATAAAAAAAAGCAAAGGTTTATTTTTAAAAAAAGAAAAAAAATGATGGGATGATATGTGTAAAGCAAAAATGGTAAGATTTATATATAGGATTCATAAAAAGATATGGCAAAAAAAGATAAAAAGTTCAAATAAGATATTACATCTATTTATTACATTAAAAAAATCATTACTTTGTTAACATAATATATATACATAAAAATAAATATAAAAAAATCAAATTAAATTTTAATATACTCCAAAAAAAAAGGTCCAAAATTTGTTTCTCACATGATTCCGATTTAAAAAAAAAAAAAATTGACCTATTGGCATTTATTAAAAAAAAATATATACAAACGGGATCAATGCAAATCAAATCTTATAGAATACTAATTATTTTTATTGTCTTTAATTTTATTGATTTATACTTTTACAAAATATATTAAATGAAAATTTAAAGTTAAGAAAAAGGAAAACCAAATTAGAAAAATAAAAAATATATATAAATATAAAATTAAATAAATAACTAAAAATATTTTTATTTATACCCAAGATAGGGTAAAACATCTAAACATGTCTCTAATTCAATCCTAATTTAAAAAAAAAAAATACTTTGATTTGATCTTAATTTTTTTAAAAAATATACTCACATAATGGATTGGAGTAAATCTAAACCAATTGAATATGAATTGTTTTATTATCTTTATTTTCATTAAATTTTTTACAATATTTGTCTAATAAAAAATAAAGAATAAAAGTTTTTAAACAAAAAATTAAGTTAGACAAGAAGAATTTAAAATTTTAAAAATATTTATTAAATATATAAAATAATAAAATAATAAAAAATTCAAACACATGATATATCTTTGATATCAAGTGAATTTTATAAAAAAATTAAAATCTAAAAAAAATATTTATTGAAAATTTTTTTAAAAAAAGCAAAAGGTAAAAAAGTCCCAACTAAAATTTTAAATCTTTTAAAAATATTTACTGAATATTAAAAAATATAAAAAATGCAAAGAAAAAAAAGTTGCATCAAAGTGGCACCATAAAAAAAAAATCGTATATTAGCAAAATTTAAATATAAGATGATATCTGGCTCCTTTTTTCAGCGTGACCCATTTTTTTAGCCTTTTCAAAAGGAAAGGGTTTTGATTTCTTTTATTTGAAGGCCAAAGCCCAATATAACAGCTAATAAAAAGTTCGATGGAATTTTCATATTAAAAAAAAAAAAAAGGACCCTTTTAAGATATAAAGGCCCAAATGAAAACTATGAACAAAATCATTATCCACACATTCCTTTCTTTTTCCTTCACAAAAACAGGCAGATAAACAAAAACCGAAAGACAGACAAAGCAACAATGGCAACGTTGGTTACTTTGGGAAGTAGTTCTGTTCTTCGATTCCACAAACCGGAGCCTCTAAAGACAAGGCCATCTTCACAACTTCTGGGTTTTGTTACTTCTCAACTCAGCGGCCTCAAAATCTCCTTCAACATTCCTGACGTGGCACCTGTAAAACCCATATCCTCAACTTTCGCTCCTACTCTCCAGCCTGTTGCTCGTAAATCCTTTCTCTTTTTTTTTTACTCAGATTTTTTTTTCTGGGTTGGTTTCAATTTTGCATGTTTCTTTTTGTTTTTGTTCAATCATGTGAAATTTCATTGTGAGATTGAAAGTTAACAATTTTGTAATGCAAGTGGGTGTTTTTAGGAGAGTGGTAGTGAAATTTTCTCTGGGTATGTTGACTTGAATGCAAAGGTTAAATGAAAATGTGAACTTGATTGGTTTAAGTTGCATTTGGATAAATATATAGAAGACAAAAACACCAAGCTAAAATCTTTGAATTGTTTGAATTTGACAATTTCTTTTCAATTTTGTATTGGTAACCTCCTTTCATTACATAGCATGCTAGTTCTGTGCTGGAATCTGTTATTAATTAGAGTTTATGAAATTAAAATACATGTTTTCTTGTGTGAGTTTGTTTAATATATTGGCCCTTTGAGATGAGTTTCGAACTTTTGAGGAGGGAGCTTTACTTTTTGTTGGTTTAATGTAGTCTGTGGAGGAATTTTTGTTAATTTGGTTGGAACAGTGGGTAGAATTAAGTGTTGGTGATTGGTTGTGATTGGTTAAGTGTTCCAGACTGAATGGAAATTTATGGCTATGGGAGCTTTAGAATGCTGGTCATAACTTCCTGTCGAATTTAGAACTAAAGATCGAAGGATAATGAAGGTGAATTTGATGTCTATTTCAGTTGTTATTAGTGATGAGGATGTCGCCTTTTTTGAAAGAACGAAAAGGGTGGGGGTCATGCATTTTGTTGATTTTAATAGAGCCATTTAATTGATTGGTGGAAAATGAAGAGTGATCCATATCTTGATCAATCTTTTCAGGCAGAGTATGCCCTTTCACCGGAAAGAAGGCAAACAGAGCTAACAAAGTTTCCTTCTCAAACCACAAGACGAAAAAATTGCAGTTTGTCAACCTCCAATACAAGAAGGTGTGGTGGGAAGCTGGTAAGCGCTATTTAAAATTGCGTTTGTCAACAAAGGCATTGAAGACCATAGAGAAGAATGGACTGGATGCTGTTGCTAAGAAGGCTGGGATAGATCTTCGCAAGGAATGATAAGGAACCTGATTTTTAGATTCCAGTTGTAGTTGGAAAATTATTTTCAAGAAAACAAAGTCGTCGGTAAAGCTTTTGCTAATTTCTGTTCTTTTCCCCTTATTTTGATTCCGTCTTCTTATTCAATTCTTATTAGCCTGATATCTTGAATACTGTTGTTGAAATGAGAATATCATGATTCCCCGTATTGCTGTATTTGTGATAAAAAAACAGAAGTCAGTTGAATTGGTGAATAGTTTTGATCCAGCTGGCTTCGGTATCCATCTTGCAGTGCTTTGGGTATTAAAAGTGCCCAACTATCGTATGCATCAAAGAGGAACAGATTCGGACATGACTAAGCACAGAAGGTTGTGCTTGGTTAAACATCGAGATTTGGCATAATTGCTTATGAATTGATACAAATGCATAGTTGAAATTTCAGTTGCAAAAATCTATATCCTTTCATGCATGATTACAGCTGCATATGTAGTTCAGCTAATTGAGAAATTTCATCGACTTCCAACAGCAACTATGCAGGTCCATTAATCTCTTAATATTCTAGAAGCAGTCTGCTGTTCCAGGATCAAATCATCTACTGAGTAATGGTCAGAGATGAGCCAGTAAATAGATGAGGTGTTATGGCCTTCCCTGTAAAGCAAGGAACAAAATCATTAGAATATCATCAGAAAACCACATCAGTCAGAGCTTAAACAGTACATTGTTATTAAAATGATTTAACAGAGAAAGTGCTGTTACATGTCAGTTAATGAAAAGACTGACGAGCTCTGGAGGAACATAATCTAAGGAAGGATTCGCAACATGAAGTAGAGGGGCACAGTTGCCGGTTCCATGATCCATGCAATCTGAGAATTCCGCAAAATCTATCAGTTCAGATGGAGATCTCATTTCATTCAGCAAGACCTCTGGATTGTTTGGGTGTAGTGGACATAACTATGCCGCATTATACAAAAATCATCAATAGATCGTAAATTCTAAAGAGAGGAGTCATTTTTGATAAGGACTCTTGGTTGAATGACTTTTAATCTAACAATTAAAGTTGAAAGGATCTTTTATTGAACTAACATGCCTTGTGACAGCCCGCAACCACAACAAATGCAACCGCAAGCCTTTTTGCAGCAAGAGCAACCATATTCAACCTAACAGGTCCTATGACTACACCATTGGCCATCACTGCATGAACTCCAACAATAACCTATAGAAGAAACTTTCAGATTTGAATCAGCTTAACAGCATCCACAATATCCAATAACGAGGTGGAAACACAGCAAAGTTGACAGTTACCATGTTGACTCGAGAAATCATTGCAAAATTGCAGAATCAGCTATCAATGCTGTTTGTATTTCTTTTGCTGCAAACTCTTTTGCAAGAACATGGCCCTGATACCTATTATTGATCAAGAAGCAATGAATCAGTAAACTTAATCGTGGGATATTGGCTTTTCCAAGCTATAAAGGATCCGATTTATAGTTTTGTGTACCGACTTTGGAGCACCCTCGGCAACAAAAACCTGAACCTGAAATGACCCATTTTTCTTCGTTGCAGCAAGCAGGAAATTTCTCACCGTTCATGAACAACCGAAAGTTTATACAACTTCACTGAAGAATCAAGGTAACTAGTCAAAATAATTTAACCATGCAGAAACATTAACGAAGTAAGAAACACAGAAACTGAGGCAAAATTAAATAAGCAAATGGCAAGATTATATAGTACTATGTGAAGCAACTGTAGTAAAAATTACTTTTGATGAATATGCTCCACTACCTGTTCTGCAATTTGTCCCTGACAGTTCTTTATATCTTAGAGGTAATTAAACGCCTCTGGGACATAATTCTTCAATTTCAAACTCTCATTTTAGCAGCTGCTGTGAAGGATGAAACATACCATAGATATAAAAAATAAACCGTTTTGGCTTATAAAAATAAACATGCCATTGACATGAAAATAAATGGATATAGAGGTTGCATGTTCCTTTTCGTTTACACTCCCACAAATTGCAAGTCTTGGAAGCTGTTATTGAGTCTGGCAAGCGCTCAAGAAGGGAATGCAATGTAGGCGAAAGCAAATCAGCAATAGTTGAAGTGAGCAAATCATGATCATCATATTTGATACCAATATTTTGATCATCGGTGCAAGTTGACATTCCCATTCCTCCAACAGCGTTTGCGATGACTGTAAGAGTCACTTCCTTAATGATATGAAAAACTCTCCTCATAATGTTTCCAACAGCAAGCTCTGCAATTTTAATTCATGGGAACAGTTTTGCTATAGAATATATATTACAAACTTGAAAAAATAAACAGCAAGTCTGCAATGGTTAAAGACAACATTGAAATACAAATTCTTATCCCAGCTTTCCTTGTATGCAATAACCAACAAATATCACAATTTCTTTAAACTTAGGGCAATAAAAAGCATATTTTCACCTAAAGAAAGACAGCCATGTACATAAATTCAGAAGATATTTGAATATGCACCAGTTAAATTAATCAAAGGAGCTCTCAACTATTAGCATAATGAAGGTTGATATGTATCAGAACAATCTGCATTTATCTTGAATGGATATCTAATCTTTTTACCAACCATGGAGTCAAATGCCCAGGTGGGGATAGCTAAAATTCTAAATGTTCAGGTGGGGATAGCTAAAATTCTAAATGTTAAATTTAGCATAATAACCCAAGAATAACCATAAAATAATGCTTATTAAAGTTAAAGCATACCAACAGGATTTGCTGCAATTAACTTCACTCCGACATCCCTCACTGCTGGAATGAGAGCTCCAGCCTGGTTAGCGGATGACGTCTTGTGCTATGATATCACTGACCTATGCAATTCTGCTGTGAAGAGAACAGTTATGTCTGAACCCTCAATTCTCCTGCCACCATAATTGATCAAAACCACATTAATGCTATTAAAACCCCACGAATTATAATCCAAAAAAACTCATATATTGCACAAAAACTTGATAAATCTAACCTTTTTTGAAGCTAGGAGACAAGTTCATTCACGAGGACTTGGATGCCTTGCATCTTTGGACCTTTTCTTTTCTTTTCAATATTGATTGTCACAAGTTTGGAGTGAAATACTTTTCTCTTTTTTCTTTGTTATTCTCTTTGATAAAAGAATGTAACTTAAGGAAGAAGAAAGGTATTTCAAAACTAAATTACCTAAAAATATTTTCATTCTAAAACTTATAAACTTATATTAGGGTTTATTTGGTTTTTGCTAAGATTAGAATTAAAAATAAAAAGAAAAAATTGTTGAAAGGCAAAACATTTTTTGACTTTAGATTTATTTTAGGGCTTTGAATAAAGCGCTTAAGATATTTGTTAGGGTTTCAATTTCTTGAACTAATGTTTAAAAAGTCTTAGAAAAACATGTAAAATGAGAATTTAAATCCCACCATCCCAGATAAAAATCTATATATATTTGTTGACAGGTGAAATCATCTCTTAAAATCAATTATATGACCAACTTAACTAATTTATTTATTTTCATATAAGGGAGGTGAATATCCTACTAAATAATTATTAGCCCTAACGAAAATAGACCAATAATTTTGGTTTCTTTAATTCTCTTCAAATTGGTGTAGAAAATACACCAATATTGAAACCCTAATTTCCTAATTTCCCTTGCTGCAGTTATAATTACAAACAAATTACATACCTTTTGTATTACCAGCATACAAGATGAACTTGGAATGAAATTATATATATTTAAACTCATATAATATGAAGCAACTCACAGAAACATACCATTCTGTTCTTTTTTGTTTTCTTGTAAAAACTTTTTTCACATCTATATATGCTAGATAACCTAAGCTAAGATGTACAAAATGACATGTCTCCAAATTACATACAACAATTCACACATGGCTAACAGTGAACAAAATGTGCAGATAAAGCTGTTTATCTAAAGGGTTCAATTGGTGCAGATTCTTCAAGAAGAGCAGCAGCCTCAAAGCATTCTGCAGCCTCTAGTGCTGACGCACTAATATCAGACTTGTAAAGCAACCCCAGATTGTACCAGGCAGCCGGGTTTGTTCTGTCGAGTCGAAGGGCGTCGGTCAGAAAACTTCTAACTATGGGCATTGATTGACCACCTAGCTGTCTAAGGATGCAAGCAGTAGATATCAAGCTCGGAACATGTGTCGGTTCAACATCTAATGCTTTCCTGTATGATCTCAGAGCTTCCTGGTGAAACCCCTTAGCTTCGTTAAGTAAACCTAACAAAATCACCACTAAGTTTTAGCTAACAAGATCACTCACTGTCTAAAAGACTACCGATTGCAAATACTCATAAATATCAACAACCCATAAACTATATATAACTGAAAATGAGTTCAGAGGAGAATGATTAAAGAAAAGTTCAAACCAAAGCTTATATTAGAAGATAACTATGGGCATTGATTGACCAACTAGCTGTCTAAGGACTTAACAAAGTACTTTGGTGGTGCAATCCAAGTGCAGTATTCTTTCTTCCTCTGATAAAAGTGAAACATGAAAAAGTTGCTAGAAATCATTTTCACAGTTATGAGAAATGATCTATAAGCTATAGTCAACATATATTCAAGTACAAATGATTAGGATGACAAGTTGAGAGCAAACACCAGCAACTTTTATGTAATAGACATTACCAATCGAGATATTGAGAATAATTTATTAACAAGAGATAAATGAAGTATGTGCATACCGGTAGAGTACCATCTAGAAGCAGAAAAAGGACTGATAGCCTTGGATTTTGACAGACAGACCTCAGCATCCTGCCACTGCGACAAGCTTGTATACACATTAGCTAGATCATGCCATGTTTCCATTTCCAAGCTTCTATCCCTCTTTCCCTTAGGCTGTGAGGAATAAGAAGAGCACTTAGCCAAGAATCCTTTTACGGACTTCTGATTTTATCAGTTACATGCTAGTGCAATTCTCTGACTCAATTTAATGAAAGCTTCTACAGTTACATAAACATATGGATGATGTGATTAATATCTTTTGAGCTAAAATAATAAAAAAGGCCATGAACTATACCACTTTTCTTAAATAAACTCCTATACTTTTATTGTACTCAAATAAGGCCTTATCCTTTGATGTTAAGGGCTTACTTGGATGCAAATCAAAAGTTAAGAGCTTATTTGAGTGCAATAAAAGTACATATAAGGGCTTTCTTAGATAAAGTGGTAAAATTCAAAGGCCTTTTTATTATTTTAACCTATCTTTTGCAACATCAATATGCGTGAGGATTAGAACCTACAACACATTGTCACTCCTATTGAACTGAAATTATCATACAAAAAAACCTCAGTTTTATACTGCAACCCATTCAACACAAATCAAACTTTTGTAGATTTTAAGTGGCTTGGAATAAAATGCAACCATCTCACTCTGGAAACAAAAGATGCATTGTTAAGCATCCAACCTAATACCAATTAGCAGTAAGTGGAGAGGCCTAACTTGAATATAAGACTATAGGAAATTTGATATTTATTAGATGTGGGATAAACCACTTTAACAAGCATAAAGTTCCAATCTTTTTACATCATATTTAGTCCAATGTTTTGCATGGCTCTCATGGTCAGGAGCATCCATGCACAGTAGGCCACTTCTCTGTTTCAGCACTAGAAATGCAGGGATGACAAAGTAATAGATGCTCAATAATCTCTTTATTATGTGATTGGTGATAGTACTATCAACTAGACACTTAAGGTTACTATGAACATTGCTGAGAAAGCTATATACTTATCTCAAAGTGACAAGTTCTTCTATTGAAGAGGAAAGTCAATTTATTTGATTTTTCACTTCCTTTCATAGGCTTGCCAACCAGTTGCAAGTTTAACCCTTTTGGCCAAATTCAACTTCAAAAGAATAAACTTGATAAAATGGTATGTGCAACCTACCTTTAAAAGTTTCTTCCCAGCACCTGAGCTTTTATACTGAACTTGGAGAACAGCAAGAAGATGAGTGTATGTCTCAACCGCATTTTTTAACTGGCCCTGAGCAATCTGAAGTTTAGCTTTGGTTCTCAACAGTTCTCCTTGATCCCACTTCCCAGTTTGGTCAAGAGCAGCATTAATTACTGTCTCTGCATCAACATACCGTTTTTGAGCTGACAATATCCGAGCCAAAAGGACATATCCTTTAACACTAGACCCTGCTTCAAGTTTCAACAGCTGCTTTGCATAATAAAGTGCAATATCCAACTTTCTCTGCTCAGCATTTTCTAGACAAAGATGGAATACAATGTACGGATCCCTTTCTTTCATCATCTTTTCTGCAGTTTCCAGCACCTCAAGTGTTTCAGACTGCTTCAAAATCCTCTGAGAATCAGAAGAAACCAACCGAATTTGAGCTGACAATAACACCCCCAGTAAGCAGTTCGCTTTACTCACCATCTGTCCACATCTTCCATTCAATCCAGTAAGGGCTTCCTGTGCCCAATTTATCCCTTCCTCAATAGAACTCACATTCTCCCCACAAATTTTTGAGGCTAGCAATAATTCCAGAATGTAGTCTGGGTTGTCTCTGCTATTCAAAAGATTCTGCAGAAGATTCAAAGCAATTATGTCCTCACCTTCCCCATAGTAGCAGAGAGCCAAAGTACAATATTTTTCTTTTCTATTCATGATCTCTGGATGCAGCTCTTCAACCTGATGAGCTATGGCTCTTAGCTCCCCTGAAACCGATAGAGCAAAAGCAAGATGATCCAAGATTGATGGATCCCATCCAATCCTTTTGAGAGCAAACTTTCTCAGTAGAATTAGTAATAAAAGAATAGCCTCCTCTATGTTGTTTCTTGGCACAAAGGAGCCTTCCATCTGCGAACGGAGGGTTGGAGGGCTTGCTTCAGCACCACTGTATAAAAGCAACACTGCAAATTCCTTTTCTAGTTTTGCTTTGGTTCCTGTATCAAGATTCCAGTAATAGAGGAGAGCCCGACGGTACGACAAGATAGCTTCTTGGGGATCTCCTGCAACTTTCCATAGCTCTGGAAGCAATTCCACAGCTTTGTTCAAAATTTCTGGTAATTTACAATCTGTAAAGAAGTTGTCGGGCAGGCCTTCTGGCAGTGCAGATTCAACAATATCCAAAATAACTTTGCATGATTGAGCAGCTTCTGTAAAAATATCAGGAAAAGAAAATAAAAATGTGACTTTGCAGTGATGATTATCCACTGAACCATCAAAGATGTCTAGAATGTCTGTCTTTCAGTTTCTATTAGGTCAGTGAATTAAGTAGTATTGCATGAGAGATCTTCAAAAATAAATAAGTAAAAAGAAAATTGAGATCATACCTCCAAACCTTCCAAGGTGCTGTAATGATTTTGCTTTCAGAAATATAGCTTCAAGAAGTAAGCTAACAGCATGCATAGACATAGTTGGAACAGCATCACTTTGTGAGTGGCGCCGGTTTTGTTCGCATCTTCTAGAAAGGGAGACTTTCATCTTGGAAGTCACTGCAACAACATCTATTCCTTCAAATACATGAAGTGCAGCTTCTATATTTCCTTTTTGATACTCAAGCCGTCCTAACAACGCCCTTGCTTCCTATAAATTTAAACTATTTGTTAGCTAAAGCTGAGCATTGCAAATCAATCTAACATAGCTAAATCTAAAGATCGAGAGAATGCAAAACACAATTAAAAAAATGCTAAAAGCGAGAAGAGAAAAAGTTGAAACCCAGGAAACAAAACTTTTGATGCTACCAGTACCAACCTCGTAGTTCAGATAACCACTCTCACGAAGAGATGACTCAGCTTCTTCAATATTGCTATTGTCAACCTTCGTCTCCACCATCTCACCTGCTCTAGACGAGTAACCACTCACCGAATAGTCCCGAGTCGCTAGGGACTCAGAGGAAGCAATAGTATCATCAACTTTTAATTGCTGTCCTGACCGGATGCACTTCATCATTTTCTGAAACCTCCCTCGAATACTAAATCTCTTCTTACTTATCCAATCCTTAACTGCCATACCCTTGTATTACACTGGAAATCCTTCAAAAATAGCATCAAGATAACAAACCATCCAAAATTAGGAGCATCTCAATAACATAAACATCATAAAATGCATGCATTATTAGCTTGTGAGATACAAATGAATTTGTTCGGTGAACTCTGAAGCCAGAAATGCTCAATTATCTACCTGAAAGGAAAACAAAATTAACCTCTGTATGCTAAAGAAACAAAGAAGAACTCTTGGTAAGAGATTTAAACCACAATTCCAAATCTTAGCACTCTCTAAATACTGGAAGCCTTGAGCTCTAAAATTCTGAACCAAGAATTTAAAGTCCGAATCACATGTTGAAACAAGAAAAAACCCACCTATTTTCCTGCAGCCCAGTTTGAGAAAACCACCATAACCGCCCAGGTACTGGGCTTAAACAGCCAATTTTCTCATCAAAGATAAAGAGTGCAACTAAATAACAAAAAACCCAGAAAATTCAACTCAAACATGATGAATTCCGAGCAACCCACATCAAAAAAAAAAAAAAAAACACTAAAATTCCAATACCATACACTGAAAGCTACAGTTGGAGGTAAAACACAGGTGAATATAATCACCCATTTACATAATCATACAAAGAGAACAAAAAAATACAAGTGTGGTTAAAAATAACTAAAAAGAAAGTACCTTTCCATAGCAAAAAACATTGATTGAGCCCACCAGACACCCACATCACTGTGCATCTCCACAATTCACCCAAACCAAAAAAAGGGTCCTTAATTTTTCACTTGCAAAGCAAGAATCCAAAGCAAAGCTTTCAACTTTTTCTTCTTCTCCGGTTTACCATCTCATTTTGGACTAAAGTCTTGATTATTATGTGTGTTTTTTTGGTTATGAAGTTTCATACGGTGAAAGTATGAGTGCGTTAAATGTAGCAGCAGGTTTTTGTCCTAAAGGTGTGAACAAAAAGAGTCATAACCAATGTACCACTGAAAAATTTTCTTTTCAAATTTAAAATATAGAAAAGTCAGTTTCTTGGAAGGAATGTCCCTGTCCCAGTTTGAAATCTTCTCCTACAATGCTATGCTGACAGCTGCTGGCTCCCATGGTCCATGCATTACAGATACTGCCTCTCTGTCTCTTGCTCACTGCCAAGTCTTCTACCATTTTAAATATAAATAAGCAACGAATTTATGGTAACATTGTTATTTTTTTTTTTGGTAAGCGGTAACTGTTAGAAAAATGGGACCAGTTTCGTATAATTGATTTTGGATCAATTAAAGATTATGAATTTTGATTTTTTTTTTTACACAGAACCTTGTTACTTAATACAAAGAAGTGAAATTATTTTAGGGTGGTATCGTAAATTAAGAAAAAAAAGAAAAAAAGCCAAAAAAAAAAAGAAAAAAAATAGTTGATTAAATGAAACTCAATTCATGGTACGATTGAATTAAAATTTTATCAATAAATTTATGATTCAGAGTTTTACATTTTGAATGATAAAGATCAAGTTTGAAGCTCTCTATGAACAAATCTAATATATATTTATTGAATCACTTATTTCGTAAAATTTTTTTAATTGTCTCTTTTTAATTATTGATTAGCTCTAGTTTTAGCTAGAGAAGAACTTTATATATCTATTATTTGATAGTGAAGTTTTTTCTGGTGGTCTGTAGCTTTTTTTTCTACATTGAAGGGTTTTTCACGTAAATTTTAGTGTGTTTTATTTTTCATGCATTTTTTATTGTTGATTGTTGTCTATTGCTATGGGTTTATTAAGATATATTGCTTCTGCATGATTGTATTTATTGCTTCAGGCCCAACAAGTGGTATTAGAACGAGGGTTATTTTGAGACATCAATATAAAAACAGCCCAAAACAAAAGTAAATTCTGTTTGAAATCATGAAAGGTGATACAGGTTTCATAATAAAATTAACAGCATCAAATTATTTAATTTGAAAGCCTATGATGAAAGATCATTTATACTGTAAAAATTTGTATGAGCCGATATTGAGTGATTCAACTAAACCAATAGATATGAAAGATAAAAACTAAAAGAAGTTAGGTAGAAGACACTGGCTACAATCAGAAAATGGGGTTAATATCAGCATATTTTATCATGTAATGCAGAAAACAGATGCCCACATTGTTTAAAAAAATTTAATAGCATTGTATGAGAGAAAAACAGGTATGAATAAAGTTATGCTTGTTAAAATGCTTGCAACTTTATACTACAAGGATAGACGATCTATTATAGAGCACTTGAATAATTTTTAAAATATATTTAATCAAATAACTACTATAGAGCTTAAGATGGATAATGAAATGAAGGCATTATTTTTTTGGGTTCATTGCCAAACAGCTTAAATACTCTAGTTGTAACTGTTCTTAATTCAACTCTTGATTACAATGTAATATTGGAGATGGTTAAAAAAAATATGCTTAATGAAAAAGCAAAGTTAAAAGATGTAGACCCTAGGAATCAAGCTCTAGTTATAGAGAATACGGGTAAAACATCGACAAAAGTCAAAACTCAAAAGGACATAGTAAGTCTATATATAGATCTATGTCCAGAAATAAAGTGAAGTGTCTCCATTATGGTAAAGCAGGTTATATAAAACGACACTGTAAAATCTTGAAGCAAGAGTAGAAATATGAAAAAGATAAGAGTTCAGATAGTGACAATGTTATAGCAGTGATTTCAGATAGTGATTTAATTACTTTGATTTGTACACATAGTGATTGTAATCATATTGGTGATCTCAACATTGAGTGGATAGTTGACACAAGAGTGACATATCATTGTGTTTCTAAGAGAGAGCTGATTACAACTTACAAAGCAGGAGATTTTAGTTGTGCCAAGATGAAAAATAAAAGTATGTCACAGATTGTTGGGATTGATGATATTATTGTATAAACTAGTACAAGTTGCATGTTGACTTTATGAGATGTCAGACACATTTCAAATATGAGAATGAACTTACTTACTATTAATATCCTTAATAATGGAGAATATGATAGATGACAAAAGAGTGAACAGTGAAAGCTTTTTAAAGAATTTATAGTAGTTGCAAGGGAAAAATTATGCTGCACAATGTACAAGATATGGATACGATTAAATGGCAACTAGATAAATGCCATTGAGGATGATGCTTCAGCAAACTTATGGCATAAAAAGCTAGCACATATGAGTGAAAAGGGGTTACAGGTTTTGGTAAAACAGTCTCTCATTCTCTTGACCAAAAATATGTTTCTCAATTTATGTTATCATTATTTATTTGGTAAGCATCGTAGATTTTTTTTTATAAGAGTTCTTAGAAAAAAATAAATTAAAATTAATTTATTCTAACATATGTGATCCCATTGAGGTTGAGTCATTAAGTGATAACAAATATTTTATTACCTTTATTGATGATGTTTCACATAAGATTTGAGTATATATGTTGAAAAATAAAAGCTAAGTATTATAGTATTTTCAAAAATTTCATGTCATGGTAGAAAAGATGACAAGATTACCCTTGAAGTGTTATTCGAATTGCTAATGATAGAGAATACACATATAAAGATTTTAAAAAGTATTATTCAAAGTATGAGATCAAACATGAGATGACAAAACTTGAAACACTACAGCATAATGGTGTAGCTAAAAGGATGAACCATACCATTATGAAAAAAGTCAGATGTATGTTGAGGATGATAAAATTACCAAAACTATTATAAGGTGAAACAGTCAACACAGCTTGTTATTTGCTTAACAAATCACCATTAGTTCCTTTGGGCTTTGACATTTTAGAAAAAAGTGTGAATAGAAAAATATGCTTTATACTCTTATTTAAAAATTTTCAGATGTAAAGCATTCATGCATATACCGAAAGAACATAGGTCAAAGCTTAATAGTAAAGTCTTATAGTGTGTGTTTATAGGATATAGTGATGATAAATTTAACTATAGGGTATGAGATCTAGTGAAGAGAAAGACATTCAAAAATAAAGATGTGATCTTTCATGAAAAAAAAACCATCGTAGACCTTGAAAAAAATATGAAAACTACATGGATTACTGTTAAGTGGGATGTTTCAACATCAATAGGGGTTTCACAGGAAAAAACTACAGATGATGAAAATGAGCAAGAAACAAAACTTGAGGATATGAATGAGTCAGCCATAGTTAGTGATAAGTCAAATGCAATTAATTTTGAGCAGGAAGAGCAATACTCTTTACCTGAAAATGTTGAGCAAGGGAAGCTACCTTTGAAATTATGTGGTATAAGGTTTTAGCCTAGAAGATCTACTAGAGAGCACAGACCATCTATTTTGTATCCAAGTTCAAATTTTATTTTAGTTATCAATTAAGAGGAGCCAAAGAGCTTTCAAGATGTACAAGTTATTCCTGATAGAGAGCACTAGTTACAAGTAATAAAAAAAAAAGATGGAGTATTATCAAAAAATGATACTTATGATATTGTTAAACTTTCAAAAAGAAAGAAGTCATTAAAAAATAAATTGGTATTCAAGTTGAAAAAAGATAGTGACAAGCTAGTGAGATACAAAGCTTGATTGGTGGTGAAAATTTTTTCTAAAAAATCAGGCATCAATTTTAATGCAATCTTCTCTCTAGTCATGAAGATGAATTTCATTCTAGTGGTATTGAGATTAACAACTAGTTTAAATCTTGAGCTTGAGCAACTTAATATCAAGACTGTATTCTTGTATGGTGACTTACAAAAAGACATTTATATGAATCAGCCTGAGGGTTTTGAAGTAAAAGGGAAAGAGCACTTAGTTTGTAAATTAGAAAAAAAACTTGTATGACTTAAAACAAACTCTTTGACAGTGGTACAAAAATTTTAATTTTTTTATGGTGAACCACAGCTATAAAAGAATAGCAGCAGATCCTTATATGTATATCAAAAAAGTTTTTGATGGTAACTTCATTGTTCTCTTATTATATGTTGATGATATGTTGATTATGGAACAAGATGCTGGTATAGTTCACAAGTTAAAAGAACAATTGTCTAAGTCATTTGATATGAAAGATTTAGGTCCAACAAAGTAGATTCTCGGTATGGACATTATTTGGGATAAAAAAGCTAAAAAGCTATGATTATCATAAGAAAAATATGTTGAACGAGTGCTTAGTAGATTCAACATACAATATGCTAAATCAGTTAGCAGTTCACTTGTCAACCATTTTCATCTAAGTAAAAAATCTTATTTGATGTCTAAGAAAGAGTAACTAGCTATGTCTAGTATTTTTTATTCTTTTACAGTCGATTCTTTAATATATCTTATGATTTGTACACGACCTAACATTGCTTACACAGTTAGTATAGTGAACAGATTTTTTTTTAATCTAAAAAAAAGTTCTTTGGGAAGCAATAAAATAGATTTTTAGATATTTGAGGGGCACCTCAAAAATATACTTGAGTTATAGAGTTTCATAATCAGTTCTAGAAAGGTTTCCTGATACTGATATGGCAAGTGATTTTAATGGTAAAAAATCTACTTTAGGGTGTTTGTTCACTTTTGCATGAGAAGCTGTGTCTTGACAATCTAAGTTGTTAAAAGTGTGTTGTTTTGTCAACTATAAAGACTGAGTATATTGCAACAATCGAAACAGATAAAAAAATACTTTGGATGAAATGTTTTTTTCTTGAATTATGGTTGAATTAGAAAGAGTATGTGATAGTTTGTAATAGCCAGAGTGTTTTAGATTTGAGTAAGAATACCATATACTATATTAAAACAAAGAACATTTATGTTAGATATCACTAGTTACATTCAGTGATTGAGGAACAATAGATGCTATTGAAAAAAATTCATACTGATAATAATGTAGTAGATATGTTGACTAAGATACTTTTTAAGAAAAAGCTTGAGCTCTGCAATAACTTGACTGGAATAAGTTCATTGGCCAAGATAAGTTTCAAATGAAACTGTTATGGTAATGAATCTCCTCTTAATAGGGTTAGTGGGGGAGATTGTTAGGGAAATGAGGTCTAGCCCCATGTTTTGGACCAATCAAAGGCCATAGGCGTTGGTTTTTTTTTTTACATAGAGCCCTAGCTACTTAATCGAAAGATGTGAGACTATTTTAAGGTGGTGTTGTAAACCAAGAAAAGAAAAAAAAAATCAAAAAAATAAAAAAATGAAGAAGGAAGAGTTGGTTGAACGAAACTCGATTCGTGGTCCGATTGAGCTAAAATTTTGTCAATAGATTTATGATTCAAAATTTTACATTGTGAACGGTGAAGATCAGGTTTAAGCTCTCTAGAAAAAAATCTAGTGTGTATTTGTTGAGTCACTTATTTGGTGAGATTTCTCCAATTAACTCTAGTTTTAGCTAGAAAAGAATTTTGTATATCCATTATTTAATAGTGGAGTTTTTTTTTGTGGTCCTTAATTTTTTTCTCTACACTAGAAGGCTTTTCATGTAAATCTTAATATGCTTTATTTTTTTGTGTTTTTTATTATTGATTGTTGTCTATTACTGTGAGTTTGTTATGATATATTACTTTTGCGTTATTGTGTTTATTGTTTCAAGCCTAACAATAACTGTGTCATTTTTTAAAAAATTTAGATAAGTTATTCAGTCTCTCAAATCAAAGTAAAATGTATCATATCTGATAATTTAAGATAAATGATTATAAATCGTGTATTCAAAATAATTCTAACAAACAATCACTAACAAGACTCAAATCCAAAAAAATATTACCAAGATTTTTCTTCGATAAGGCAAGTTGTAGCTTATTACTTGACAAAAAAAAAGTTTGAAAAAAAATTACTTTCTTTATCTCAAATTATTTAGGTGATATTAATTTTTATTTTAAAAAATTTTAATTTTAATATTTTATATTAAAATTTAAAAAAATTATAAAATTAAAGTTTTATAATTTTTAATATTAAAAATAAAAAAATTATATAAAAAAATAAAATTTTAAATGTAAAAAAAATGACATAATTTAAAAAAAATTTAAAAATAAAACAGAGAGAAAAAAATTATTTACTCTTTCTGTTTTGCTGAGAACAAAAAAAAATCTTTAAAAATTTGTTGCAAATCCAGATTCAATTATTTCATGCCATCAATTTTTAAAAAATAATATTTAATAAATTTATAATACCAATATTGTAATTATTTTCTCCGAATTAAGATTTCTTTTGTATCAAAGAAAACTATTGGGAAATGTGTGTAGTGTTTAATGTTCTGGATGTTGTACGGCTAATTTGGTTTTTTTTAATTTTTAATTTATTTCTAAATTTTTTACCCAATTATATATTTAACTAAAAAATATTATGCATTTAAATTTTATTAAATTCTCAATTTTTAAATATAAATTTGAATGATGTATCAATTAAGCCAAGATAATCGACGGTTACTTTGGTTTCTGTTCAATCCAAACCATTTCATTCTTTTTTTTTTGCAAAAGATGTAGTGTAAGACAAAAGTCAAATCTAGTGTAGCATTTTTTCGTCGTTTACTTAAAGTGAAAAACGTGTTCCCACGCAGCAAATTACAAGTTAAAGCTCCAACCTGGTCAGTTAGGCTTAGGATTTAGCCCATCAATATTCAAAAGTGGTCCAAAAGTCTAAAGTCCTCCCCCGCCTCATGCTTCTCTTTGTCCAAGAAAAAAGAAAAGAAATAAAGTTTTCTTTGCTCCTTTCCCTATCAACTCAACCCCCACCAGGAAAAATATTAACCAAGGTAATTTGGTTGGTTTTGGAACCCAACCTCACAGTTTGGATCAATTCATGAATCGGTAAATCAGTCTAAACTCAAAAATTTATTAGAAATTTTAAAATATTTGAATACAAATATTAAACTTGTTAAATAAATTTAGATAAATAAATAAAAATTTATTAAAAATAGAGCCAAACTTAGATTTTATCATTTAAGAACTAACTCAAAAATTAAAAAATATTTTTATTGTAACGGAACAAAGTCAATTTATTTTATTTTTTATAATGGATAAAACTCATTTGTTTTATTACTCATAATAAGATAAAATTTATTTTTTTATACAAAATAATAATTTAATTTTAAATTATATTCAATAAAATTAAATTAGATCCACAAATAAATAGCTCATAAATTTAGTTAAAATTAATAATTTATTAAAAATAAAAAAAATATTTTCTTTAATTTTAAATATAAATACTTTAAGTAAGTTTAGATTTTATTATTACATGTAAAAATAGATTTGATAATAAATGATGCCCAAAAAATAAAATAAAATCAAACTTAAACTTATTTAAAATGTTAGAAAACCAAATCAAGCTTAAACTTATTTAAAATGTTAGAATATTATGTTATGTCCGACCCAAACTTAGCCCATGAGTAACTCTAATTTGGATCCCTCTGTTTATTTTTTTGTTCATATTTTTATGTTTTAAAATTATATTTTTTAAAATATCTAAAATTCTTATTTTTTATATTTTTTAAAAATATATTTTATATTTTTATTTTTATATCTTATTTTTAAAAATATCTTATTTTATCTTTATATTTTTATTTTAAATCATATCATTTTTATTTTTTTATTTTTATATCTTATTATCATATTATATTTAAAATTATCAAATCTACAATAACGTTATCCACATTTTGCTTGATAAAAAGTTTGTAATTTTCTTCTTGCATGTTCTTAAACAGAATTATGGTACGGAAAAATATTTATTTTGCAAAAGTGGTAAATGAGAGCAAGGATGGAATCATGATTTTTAATTTGAGGGTGAATGTTTTAGGTATTGAACACATCAAATAATTTAATGCAATAAGTATAAATTAAACAAAAAAAAAATCCTGACATTAAACATTTTTCATAATTTGAACTATATAGGAAGATTCTTCATTGCATAAAATTTATTTATGATAATTTTTTCAGCAATTCTACACAAGTCAAGAACCCTAACATTAAAATGCAACTGCTGGTAGTTGAACATTGCAATCCAAGTTTGTAATGCTAAACCAAGATTTACTGTGTGGATTAACATCTTTGCTTGAAGCTGTTGGAACTTGGAAGAGGCTTCTTATTATCTTATATCGATATAATGTTGACACTTAACAGCTGAATTTTTTTTATTTTAATTTATTTTATTTTTTTTATAATTGAGGTTGTGAGGATTGAATTCATTCTAGTTTTATTGAGGTTTTTTTTCAAAAGTTAAACCAAAAACTATATGTTATATTTAAATTACAAAATATAAAAGTAGGTGGGTGCGTGGGATTTGATAAGAGATTAAATTTATTGCTAACATATAGTCTTTCAATTTCAACAAAATCTTTCACATGATCTTATATAGGAAGACGCATAACAGTATTAATTTAATTAAACAAACACTCATTTCCGATAAATCCATGCATGCATGGATGCAAGCAATGTCAAGCTTATAGTTTTAGTGGTGTACAATTCCGCAAATTTCAAGCTCAAACACCGGTTCAATCAACTCCACTATCACAACACACCCACACACGAAACACTCCTCTTTGGCACCCTCCAAATCCACTACTACTGAAACGCCAACCCACTACTTTTCAATTATGCTACACTTTAAAACCTGCCAGCCACAATAACACTTTTCAATTTGCAAGTCTCCACTTTTTTCTATTCCCCAAAGTAACTTTCCAATTCCACTCCAATCTCTATTACAATACACCTCATAGCACTTACCTATTGTATTATTCCACCACAAATGCTCTTTTGTTTCCATTCGTTCCCATGCACCTTTAATAGCACTTTCCAATTCCACCCCCAACTCCTCCTCCTTTGCCAATTCCACCACCAAGGCCTCCGCCCTTGCCAATTCCTCCACCAAGTCCACCACCTTTTCCAATGCCACCACCAAGTCCACCACCCTTACCAATCCCACCACCAAAACCACCTCCTTTCCCAATTCCACCACCAAACCCTCCGCCGGCACCACCACCAGCTCCTCCACCAAAACCGCCCCCAGCACCACCACCAAAACCTCCTCCAGCACCTCCACCAGCCCCACCTCCAAAACCACCCCCACCTCTGGCACCAAAGCCACCAGCCTTTTGGATAGTTAGGAACTTCTCATCGTCGTTCTTTTTCGTACTCACCACATTTCTAGCAACAACATTCACTACAAGCACATTGAAGCAAAGCAAAGATAACAAGACCACTCTTTTAGTTAAGCTTACCATTTTTTTCGAGTTTTAGCTTCGTTCATGAGAGCTTCAAAATCTCAAATGCTTTTATAAGCCAATTGGATTGCATTAAATCATCTCAACAACCACGTTGCTGCATTTAATAGGTAAATAATAATCTTAGCTACTACTATCAAGTATCCAAAAATCTCTCTTGGTTAAGTTGTTTTATTCGATGAAAAGTATTTGTGGATTGTGATTGATTTATCTCTTATCTGACACCAAATTGCCAGCCAGCTCACATGGTTAGGTTTTCTTTGCTCATCTGAATCGACCCTTCTTCTTACATCCGTACTATAAAACTTAATCAATTTCACATGGTTAGGTTAAATGTATTGGCCTTTAAGGCATGGCATCATGCATTATCTGGTCTGTAAAACCCAAACATGGATTGTTCTTATAGATCGTGGTGATTTTTTTTATTTGAAGACCCAAAATAACGTTTAATCAAAATGAAATTTAGTTTCTTCTTTTTTTTTCTTTTTTTACAAAGGAGTCAATAGTCTCAAATAAAAAAAAATTATAATTGCTGAGATTTGAATCTCAGTTCTACTAGATGTCACCACATAAGCTTCACTGATGCAAATGATGTTGTGGGGTGTACATGATTAAAAGCAAGAAAATTTTTTAAAAAAATTTTCTTTAGACACCCCAAAAAGTTTTTTTGTATACCGTAAAAATTGGAAAGTAAGAAAATCTAAAGTAAAATTTTTCCTAAACACCTTCAAAACAATTTTTGGACATCCTTTCCATTGAAAAAAATTAATAAATCCATCAATAGTATTTTATATATATTATAAGTGGATATCATTAAAAAAAAATTATTGAATCCATCGCTACATATAAGAATAATTTCATAAACCGATTAAGTTAAGCTCTAACTTCTAATTCAATCATCACACAAATTATCTTTGTTTAGGTCACTTAGGTGACAATTAATAGACTGTATTCGCCATCTCTCAACTATTTATTGAAATACTATCTAGTTAGCTTTTCCTCAAGAGAGAAATTAACTTTAGTACTTTCGTATCACAAGATCTTACATCAATTTTTTCAAATGTCAAACATATATAATCACCGGATATTCGTGTTAATAAAAAAGAAAGTCTCAGCTGAATCTAAACCCCTCTATGTTTATAGTACAAGTATTGGCCGCTCGAGGATTGACCTATGTTTCAAGATGTGAGCGACGGGAAACAACTAGTCACATTATATCTATGAATCCGATGACCCTTTTGATCAAAACCAGAAATATTATATACAAATCACATAATCCAACATGCAGCAAAGTATGGCGGAAGCTTATGTCATGCCATTCAACAGCTCGATGGCTATGTCTATCGATGTTTTTAGCCATCCACACAAAAGAAAAAGGAAAAAAAAAAAAACCTTTTTCAACCTTGGAATATCTAACAAATTAAATTCTCCTTGCAAAACCATTTTATGAGTGTAGCATCGACTAGCCTTGGATTAACCTTGTGGTCTAGATCTCAGTCGGCAAATGCATGAAGTAAATGCAAATGGGGGTCCAACCTCAACCAACCCTTTAAAAAGGAAGAGGTGAAACTGTCATTTTGGTACTAAACTTTAATTTTCAAAAAGATTCAAAACCCAAAAGTGCTTGGCTGTTGAATGTGTATGAATATATCCATGTGCGTGGTTGATAGAGAATTTATTGCATGTCAAAGGGAGAAATTTTTTCAAGAAAAGTTTTTGCTTAATTTCTTTGTTATTATGGCTTTATAATTAAGCTCAGGGGTGGAGCTAGATGGGGCAGTAGGAGCCATGGTCCCTCCAAAAAAATTTTTATCTTCTTTACTATATAATGATCAGTCCCGCTAAATTATTATTTTGATCTCTTCTTTTTTGAAATTATTGTTTGACCTCGCTTTCATCAATTTCTTCCCTTTGTCTCTGATTAAGCTTCTTAAAAGGAAAAGATATGTAGCTAAAGCATCATTATTCAAAAGCTAAAGCTCAAGGTTTCTTTTTCTTTTTTTTTTTTGTTTGATACATAGGGTGCAGCTTGAAAATAAAAAAAGAGTTATAAATATTAAAATTTAAATCTTAAATTTGTTGGACATCATCTTTTAAAAATGATTATATGAATCAAAAGAATTGAACCCTAAATTAATTTCTTGATTAATTTTCATGTAAATGCAAACATGCCATGATCTCTCTTTGGGATATTTGATATTTTCCTACTACTTGTCTCTGAAAGCTATCACCGACGTCATTAATTGAACGCAAAAGGAGCTGTTGGATCAACTTATCCCATTACTAACAAGATAATCATATTTACAATATTGTATCACTTGTCATAATTAATTGTCTCATTTTATATAAATTTATAGTGAACAAATGTAAATGATAGACTGAAAAAATTTTCAATTTCATGATTGATCAAAAAGATTGATTACGAACATAATAAGACCAAAATGTTATAGATCATATGCAAAAAAATAAAAAATAAAAAACTTGGAAATTGAAGCCAAATAATTCTTTATCCATGATCTCAAGATCCTTAGACTGAACAAAACTTATGTGAAATTATTTAATTGAAATTGTGAAATTTTTTTTAAATGATTTAATAAAAATTTTAATATAAAATCTAAAACAATAGATTGATAAAGTTTAATGTAAAAATAAATAATATGTAAAAAAAATTAAAAATATTATTTATGGTTCAAATTTAATCAGTACTTATCAAACGATAAAAATTTTATCAATATTTTTATTAAAAATGTTTATTTAATAAATATATCAAAATTTATTAAAATTTTTTAAAATTTTACATGTTTAATCTATGTGATAAAATTATTTAATTTATTAATTTTTATTTTTATTTACTCATTTTTAATAAAAAAATTTTCATAAATTTCACTGTGTAAATCTTTTTCCCTTAGACATGCGAAGTCCAACATGCCGTAGCAATTCACTTAATTTGAGAAAAAAAAAGACTCCTGCAAAATGACAGCTAAAAATGGATTGCGATTTAAATTTCAGAGATAACATATTAATTGACCTTCGTTGTGAAATTAATGTGATTGATTCAGCTAAACTAACCTGTAAGGAAAAGAAAAAAGCTTGAGTTTGCAAAAGGAAAGAAGGGGGGCCAAATTTAGTTGTATGAGGAGGATAGACCATGTTCCTCCTCAGAATAAATGGTCAAAGATTTTTCATGGTCTTGTTATTTAATGGAACTATATTTTCTCAATCTCTCCAGCTCCAGCCATTGACTTTTAACTACTTTAATGCCTCAACTTGACTAAAGGCCCATGTTTCTCCAGAGTCGTCTCCCGTGCGTAGGCGTTGGGCTTAGATAACCCGCATCAGACCCGTCCCCAGCCCCGACTTGGGCCACCTGATTCTATGTTTTCCTTATCCGAACCTACCCCCGCCCCAGCACAGGTTATCAAATTTAAAACCGGCTAAAATATTTAAAAATTCTCTTATTTATTTTATTTTTTAAAATAAGTTTCTACAATTTTTATTATACTGAAATAAGATTCTATTCTTTAATTCATATCTAAAAATTTTTTTATTTCAAATAAAAAATTAGTTTACATTAAGAACATGTTTAAGTATAAATCAAAGGTTAAGGAATTTAATAAATTAATTAATAAATATAAATATATAAAATCAATTTATCAAATAAAATATAAGTTTATAATTTACTTAGATAGATAACTTGAAATTTACAAATCATTTAGATAATATGAATAATCTTTAATTAAAATTAGTAGAATAAAAATAATTCCAATAATATAAATTATAGACTACTGTTAAATTAAGATCTTTAATTAATAAATTTTAATATCTAAAAAATTTTATGATTAAAATTTGGTATTTCAATATGTATAATTATTTATTGATATTTTAACTTTAAAATGTACAACGTTTAATATTGAAAGTTTTGTGTTGATCATATATGTTCAAAGCATATAATATATTTAATTGAATATGCCTCCTAGCAAGATCATTGTTAGCTTTTTATTTTATTTCTCTTTATTCCTAAAGTGATTCTTGCAAATAATTAATTTGGAGAGAAACTCGGCAAGGAGCCATAATTTCAACCAAATAGGTTCTTGTATGATTTGGACTATCCTTTATAGTATGAAAAAAAATTTTTTAAGCATGCAATAATCATTGCAATTTCAGGCTATAATTTTGGCTAAATAAACTTTACTCCTAGAGCATGTTTGAAATGTCATTTCATGAATTTTCACAACCAGCAACTAGTGATATAATTGTCAAAGGAGATTTAAGAGTCTGAATCAGGTTGATGGCAGCCAAAAATGAGTTTAATTGATATAAGTAAAAAACTCATTACGCAAGATTAAGACATGGAGAAATTGTTTTCAATGTCAAAATTGTGAAAATTGGAAACTACATTTTTATGTATTTAAACATTTAATTTAGTGATTGATGCATAATACTCTTGCTCTTTAAGTATGGTTTGAATCTCTCTTTCCCCAAATTAAAAAAGAAAAAAACTAAATTTTCACACTGCTTTTTATAAAAAATTGCTTAAATGATGCACTTTTTTCCAATTTTTTTTCTTTTCTTCCACAAATTGTGTGTTCTTGGAAGTGGGTTCGAATCTGCCCACTACCTTAAGTGGTTGACTTACAAATAAGTACGAAATTGAAAAGATAAATATATGGTCCAAAAGCAAAAGACATGAACGTGGAAATGGTGGCAAAGGCCATAGAAATTCCACAAGAATGAAGACTACAAGCACCTATTTGACTATCTTGATGGCTAGTGCCTTCCACTTTTCAAGACCTAATTTCCAAGTTAACCTAAGAATCGATTCCATGTGTTCTCTTCCTCTCCTCTCCCATAGCTCAGAAGAAAAACAACACCATTAATCAGAATCATTCAAACAACTTTGACCTAGATATAAAAAAACTACTATTTGGATAGCTTGGAATAGCTTTAAGGGAGAAGAAAAAAAGTTTATAACTCCCTTTGAGCTAATATCCACACAAAAG